GTTCCGTACCGTCCCAGGGAAATCCCTGTGTCACGGAATCCTGCGAGCCTGCAGAGTCCTGGTGGAGGCCCAGTCTCCCAGTCTCCTCCGATCGACACTGTCTTTAGCCTCTTTCTCGTCGTATTTTGTCTGTCGTTCTCCACCAGAGCTCTTTTCTCGTTGCGACCCTGCCTCCTGCTGTTGCTGTGAGCAATCGAGGCAAGTTAACCAGGTCGCCAGGTCGCCTCCCCCCCAAAAAACAGCTCTGATTAGCGACCATCGCCACCTCGAAGCAAGCAGGCGTCCAACAACATAGCGAGATAGCCTCGATAGCGTACGATGTAATACGGCTCTACGGCTTCTCGGCTTTTGCCACTGCCCTCCACAAAAAAAGACACACGCAGACACGGCATTGTCATTTTGGGACAATTGGACCTGTCTGGACCTCTCACGACCTCGCCCGCTTTCCTCCCCAAAACAGGCGGTGATCGACTGCACATGGGCTAAAAGAGGCAACGACGTCGTGGGCAATGGGGGTGCCCTGGCTGTCGTGGTATTTACTACTCTGTAAAAGCGTAAAAGCTCAGGGGTTGTCATCATCTTAACCTGGCTCCTGGCATGGGGGGTTTTGTCGTCTTCGCCGATAGCCCACAGTGGATGCTGTGGATTTGGGATGCGGATGTTGCTCTGTATTTACAGGTATGGAGTCAGGAGTCCTCCGTCCAGGTGGTAATCCACGCAGAAAATGGCCAGAATCGTAGAAACGTGCCCTCTTGACGAGCCCACCAGCTCTCCGTCGAGCCCCAAATCGATCCACCCCAATGTTCGCCGACCTTGTCCCCCTGTGTTGTTGTGTTGGTCCTGCCTCTTTGGGACCATGAAGAAATCAGAATCAGGAAACGATGGACCAAAAACCATGGATTTGCCTGGATTTGCCTGGATTTGCCGAGTTGTTGTTCCCACATCCAGAGCCCAGAGCTGCGGCGTAATGCTGAGGCGGATCTCTGTTTCCAGGGCCGACAGCGACGAAGACATGGCGTCGGGTCGGTGCTGATGGACAGTGGGCTTGGAAAGTGGAGAGAGAGGCTCAGAGGACACTGCCGCGTGTTGTCTTTCATGTTTATGTTTGGCAGCCAAACCTTTACCAAGTATTTGCAGGCGTTGGACGGAACAAGTAACGCTTCCAACGGTCAACGGTGAACGGCCAGCCGTCAACGGTCATGGCCAACACTCGGCATCTTTCAAACGACAGAGCAACCACGCTCATTGCGGTGGGTGAAGAGTTGACTACTGCAGGCGCGCACATGCTTGCGAGGACAGCGGCACTTGGATGCACGGAGACAGTCTGTCAGATGTTTGCCGACTCAAATTACGAAGGTATTACGAAGAGAAAAGCATAAAAGCAGATCCCCTAATGCAGGACACGGACGTTGAAAGCAGAGGAGTCAGACGGGGCAGATTGAGAAAGAAAGCAACCGACGAGCCCATCTCACTTTTCGTCTTGTCCTCGTTGGGAGTCTATTTGCGCTGCTGGGACACTAGACAAGGACACTAAAGCGACTAGACAGGGGCAGTCGTAGGGGGAAGGGGCAGCATGGGCAGACGCCAAAGAGACAGGCTTGGGGGGGGGGGGGCTACAGTAGCCCGGCATAAGCTCCGGCAGTGAAGGAAAGCGAGGGCTGAGTTGCCTTGCGTCTGTCCAACCGGCAGCCGGCACTGTCAAAAAAGAGAAGACTGTCTGACGGATAACGCTGTCTGTAAGCCAAAAGCCGACATGGGAAGACTAAAAAAAAACACAGTCAGACAATGAGACAGGACGTCAGAAAACATACGCGAGGATGCAGGCTGAGGAAGGATTTGAGAGCATCGGCCAAGTTGTAGACCAAGCCAAACAACGACTGTGTAGGAATAGGGACAGGCACATGCCAGTCGAGGCCTGTAAAGCTCGCGGCTGGCTCGGGTTTGCCTCGACTAGCCAGTGGATCAAAAGACGAAGAGGTGAGACGGGGCGTGGGTGTTGATAGTGGACGGGGCACGCTGCAATCCGGGCAACGGGCGCCACGGACCGTGCGGGCAACTGGCTGTGCATCGGACGCTATGGCCAGCGGAAAGCAAACTACGAATCGCGGCGAACTGCTCCTCTCACCAGAATCCGAAGGGTACCCAAAGGGACGCATCGGCCTGCATTCTGGGATCTGGCATGCTCAGGGCGACCGTGGATGAACGGACGCAGGTCTGTTTTTGTGGCGATCGCTCCTAACCGAGGGCGACCAGGACAGCCCTAAGAGCTTGGGGGCGGCGGTAGAGCAAACACATGAGAGGAGGCGTTCCTCAGTCGACACGTCGCGATGCCGCTCTCTTTGCTACCGGCGGCCATCCACATCGGCCGGTCCTTGCGCACCCGCCTGCTTCGTGCTCGCGTCGTCATCTGCCGCGCCGTTCCCTCGATTTGACCTCGTATTACGCCATACGAGGTCAATTAAGACCTAGGCGAGCAGAGGACGTCGTACGCGATGCTCCCTCATGATTGATTATTGACATACAAAAGATCAGAGTATGCATCGAGTGCAACGCTCCCCTCTTTTGTCGTCATTGTGATCTGCGGCTGACTTGAGTGGGATTTTGGCTTTGATTTAAGTTTTATTTTGATATTGGCTGTTGACCGACTTGCGTTTTGCTAATGCTTTGGAGATGACAAGACGCAGCGATGTAACTCTGGACACCTCATATGGACTCAAGCCAACAGAGGCCGCTTTGCTCGAGCCATCTTGAGACTTCAGAGTCTGTGGAACCGCTTTGGAGAGTCGATGCTCGGTACCTGGTTTGAGTTTGGGAATTCCAACCTCTTTGAGTGGTTCTTTGGGCTTTCGATACAAAGTCCACTCTCCTTGGCCATTCTTCCACGGGAAGCTGTTTGTCGGTCGTGAGCCCTTATGCTATTTCGTTAATTCGTACTCGTGCTGTGATATGCGTCGGCACCCCCTAGCCCGCTAACGTGCCCAGACCAGCACTAGATCCGCCGGGAGGGTCCCCGCCTAGCGCCGTGGGCCTGGGCCTGAACTCGAATGGTATCTTATCCGTGCTGTTGTTTTCCGCGGCGAACGAGGGCTTGATGCGAGCAAGAGCAACTGAAAAAAGGCCCGATGCGGTTGGCTGTAATACTAAGCGAGGTCGACGAAGTAACAAAGAAGAGGCTAAAGCATGGACACTGAACTACGACATGGCGCCAGAGGAACACATTGCGTAAGACATCGAGACGACGGCACTTGATGAACATCAATATTCGTACCGGGGCGACATCCGCGCTGCAGACCGCCCAAAGCGGTAAAAAGCAAGGTACCAGCAATCAAACGCCCCGAAAAGAGGAACTAAATTTTTTTTTTTTTTTTTTTTTTTTTTTTTTTAAAAAAAAAAAGTAGGGACACAGACCACCGAGCCAGGGGCTGCAACGAAAAGAGGCAAAGAGAGTCGATAATGCAAGAGGACGAGATTGCCGACGTTGACACTTTGAGAGTTCTCCACAACGAGTGACGATCGTTGACATGTCGCTCGGCATGGGACACAGACGTTGCTGCTTTGGGACGGTGTTGAGGCCTTTCCGACACTTTGCGTCTTTCGTGAGGTCGGGTGAGGTCGAGAGGTGTCTATCGACGCTCTTTTCAGCCATGGTCGATGGGCCCAGAGTCGTGTCCGGCCGCATTCCCGGTTGAATTTGGCGAAGCGAAAGGAATATTGGGAAAAAGAAGAGGCAAAACGAGGCGAGGCATTGAGGAAGCGAGGTGATGAACAGCACGACGTGGGGGAGTGTGAATCCATTGCGGTTCCGAAATGATAGGTTGATGTCCAGACACTGTTTTGCCAATGTGATGGTATGATATTGGTGATTATGGAGACGATCTTGTGACAGTACGAACAAAGTCTAATCTAACAGTTTCCTTTATTCCTCTAATGCTACCCGCGACGAGCGGTTTGCTCGGGCATGTGAATGTTTGCTTGCTGTGGTCGCTTGTGCTGCCGACGGAGCGGAGACAGAGACTGGAAGACGATGAACAGGCAGGTTGATCAGCCCAATGCCGAGTTGTTTGGACACGGCACATTTTTTTTTTTTATCTGCGTCACCAAGACGAGGGAAATCGACGACTGCAAACGACACACATTGTCGGGACGAAATAATGGTAGATTAAGACTGTCTCCGCGGTCGCAGCACATATGCGCCTCTGCACGTCTATCTGCATCTGCATGTCTGTGTCCTTTGCGTCTCTGAGCTGTCGTGTGCAGCCAGATTCCACGCTCCACGTTTCGTGTTTCCATGTGGTAGACACGCTTCAGTGTGCCGCTGTGCCAGTCCGGATTATGCCATGCCTGCGCGCATGGACAATTGTCGTTGGAGCGAGGTCCCCTTCTGCTGCATCGCCCGCCGCACTGACAGACCAAACCCCTCTTCCAGGCAAAAGGGAGGGCTGCCATTCTAGAATGGCCATCCAACGGCCTCCCAAGAACATCCGTTCGCACAACGGCCACGGCGAGGCGAAGTCGCCGTTTTGAGACGAAAGAGGGACTGTGCGGAGATCACGGCTGCACGATGGTTTATGCAAACAGGCATGTCGAGTGTGGGCGGGGAAACAGAGTACTGGTCAAGAGGCAAGAGACAAGTAGAGCAGGGGAGTGACGAAACATGCTGTTTCGCATAAGCCACGTCTCTTCTCGAAGACTTGTCGACTTTTCGACGTCGACTTCGATTTCGGCTTCGGCTTCGGCTTCGCTCCCGACGATCGTTGCTGTGCCGTAGACTGAGATCAACAAAGATCACGACCAAGACTCAAAAGGACGAAGGTCGAGAGTGCGATGCGCATGCTGTAATTCTGCAATGCCGTGGTCCTGTAGATGGACGAGCGTAAAGGCGAAAGCAAAACGCCAAAGCGACGCCTAGTGAGACCAAAAGAGCCAAAAGAGGGCGTCCAAAACATCCAATAACGCCATCCCCATTGCCTACCCTGTACGTACGCTGCCCTCGTCGCCTCTCACGTCCGGAGTTTCTGCGCCTGCGCCGCCGGCAGTCCCACATTCCCGCCGCCGGCCGGCCGCTCAATGCGCGTGTCGTGTGCCCGCCGGTCCACCGGCACAAACGCAAAGATGCCCGTGAGCTGGGCGCGCGCGGCCTCGAGCGCCTCGACGGCCTTCTTCATCTTGTCGGGCGACGTGTCGTCCACGACGTGCCGGCGGACAAAGAAGAGCCACTGGCGCGACGGGTCCACGCCGGCGCTGTTTGTGATCTGGTCCCAAGACGGGAGGGCCGCCAGGGGCGTTGGGGGGGTGCCCGGTGCGGCCGGTGCGGCGCTGGGCAGGCGGTGGTAGCGGGCGAGGACGTACTCGTTGCCGTTGCTGTAGAAGATGAAGGACTCTTCGATGAGTTCGGATTTGAAGCTGACGAGTTAGACGAGAACCAAAAAGCGAGCAGCGAGCGAAGCGAGGACCAAAAAAAGAACGTACCGGTAGCCGTTGTCGGTGAGAATGGCCGGCAGGTTGCGCGTCTCCGGCAGCTCGACTTTCTTGCGCTGCGTCACCAGCCGCGTGATGCCCGTGGTGCTGCTGCCGCCCGTCGGGTCGGGGATGTCGGTCCAGCGCAGCGTGCCCTGCGCGGCGCCCGACAGGATGGCGGCCGCCCCGGGCGACGTGGCCGGGCCCGGCGCGGCGCCGAGCTCGTCGCGGTTGACGGGGTAGCGCGCCTGCAGGACAAACGACTGCCGCACCATCTGCTGGTGCAGCTCGGTCCACAGGCGGCCCTGGGCCGGCTGGATGGGCTGCGGGATGGCGCGCTTGACGGCGAGCCCGCGGGGCTGCGGCGGTCCTGCAAAGTAGAGGATGCGGTGGACGGTGCCGCGGGCGGTCATGCCCGACAGGCCCTGGAGCAGGGCCTTGGCGCGCTCAATGTCGGCGTCGGGCACGACGGCCGTGAGGAAGAGCTCGTGCATGGCGGCTGGCGGTGGGATTCAACGGTTTCGGGGGTGTGGTGTGTCGTAGCAGTCTGGTGTCAAAGACGAGGTTCGAAACGTGAGCTTTAGCTTTTGGCGATGCGATGGGGCAGTGGGGCCTTAGCTGAGCAGCTAAAGCAGCTATGAGGAGCTGGGCGCTGTAGAGTGCAAAGACTTCAACTCAACGTATTGAGAGTGACAACATACAAGAACTGGGATGAACAGAATGCTTCTAGAAAAAGGGTCTTTAATTTATTTTTCTTATATGTCCATTTACTGACATTTGTCGCTGAGACGTCTTCTTAGGATACTCAATGTGTCGAAACCGCCTCACGTGACTTGGCGTTTCTACCAAACACAAACGACGCGTCTCTAGCACGACGCTCAACAAGAACGCTCCCTCAGACAGTACGGCCATTGCAATTTCAAAGAAGTTCATTGTGGCATTCCTCAGCTCCGAATGGGCCAAATTTGAGAACGCACGACGACCATGTCCCGGAGTCAACGGGCGAGTGCGGCAGCGGCTGCCAAGAGGATTGCGGTGCAGGCGGATCACGACGAGGCGGCGGATTATATTCACAGTGGCGGCGAGAAGAGGACGGCAAAGGCCATAGCAACACTACCGCGCCGACCTGCTGCCAAGCGAAAACGGGACTCGGCGTCGCCCGAGTACGAGGATGTCGAGGACGAAAACGAAAACGAAGACGAAGACAACGAAGACGTCGATGACGATGACAATGACAGTGAAGCGGAAGCCATGCAAAGAAAGAACCGCATCCCGGTCTCGAAGAGGTTGACGGTGGGCACGCCTGTTGTCAAGAAGGCCAAAAAAGCAAGGCGAGCAACAAACACCAACGACACGTTCCCTCTCGAGCAGCGCCTATTCTCTCGAGCTGGCCGTCCTGCCACGGGCAACGGCGTGGTGCCGCCCGCCTGTTGCCCTCCCGAGCGCCGCCACACCGTCGACTACCACCGGCCCCTGCTCCTGGACGGCGCCGACGGCCGCCGGGCACGCGATGCACTGCTCGCCTGGTACGACCGCGTCAGCGCGGCGCGCGGCATGCCGTGGCGGCGGCCGTGGGTGGATCCGACGGCGGGCCTCGGCGGCGACGATGCGCAGGCCCGCACGGCGCTGGCCCGCCGCGCGTACGAGGTCTGGATCAGCGAGATCATGGCCCAGCAGACGCGCATTGCCGTCGTCATTGGCTACTGGACGCGCTGGATGGCGCGGTGGCCGACCATGGCGGCGCTGGCCGCGGCCTCGGCCGACGACGTCTTGCAGGCGTGGAGCGGCCTCGGGTACTACAGCCGCGCCTCGCGCGTGCACGAGGCGGCCCGGCTGGTGGCGGCGGATCCCGTGCTGCGCGGGCTGCTGCCGCCCGACGTCGCCACGCTCGCGTCGCGCATTCCGGGCGTCGGGCGGTACACGGCGGGCGCGGTGTCGGCCATTGTGTATGGGCGGGCGGCGCCCATGGTGGACGGCAACGTGATGCGCGTGCTGAGCCGGCAGCTGGGGGTGTTTGCGGACAGCAAGGCGGACAAGGCGCTGGTGGACCTGCTGTGGGCGGCGGCGGAGGCGCTGGTGCAGGCGGTGGCGCGGGATGGACCGACAGAGGGTGGTGATGCGGCGGGCGCAACAGACGACGAAGAACAGCTACAGCTACAGCCTGCCGTGAGCGACCGCCCCGGCCGCTGGGGCCAGGCCCTGATGGAGCTGGGCAGCACGGTGTGCGCGCCAAAGCCGGACTGTGCGGCGTGCCCCATCCGTTCGACGTGCCGGGCGTACGCTGAAGGGCTGGTGCTGCACGCGAGAAACACCACGGGGACGGTCCCGCCGCCTCTCGTAACGACCGAGAATGGCAATGGCCCTGGCGACGACGATGTGTGTGACCTCTGCGAGCAGTTCCCCGAACTCGACGAGGAGGAGGCTGCTGCTCTCGCCCGGGCCGACAAGAACAAGGACACGAAGCCGGACGACAAGGTGACGACATCGCCATTTTTTGACGTGGAGGATGCCGCAGCTGGCGTCAAGAAGCTCAGCAGAGAGGCGCTGGCCACGGTTGTCAGCCACGCGCGGACCTTTCCGCTGCGGCGACCCAAGAAGCCCGTCCGCGAGGTGGAGACGCTGGTGTGTGCTGTCCGACTGAAGACGCTGCAGAACAAGGGCCACGGCTTGTACCTCTTGCACCAGCGGCCAGCCAAGGGCCTGTTGGCAAGTCTCTGGCAGCTGCCGAGCCACGATCTGCCGGCGGCGCTCGACGGGAAAGCGGCACGCCGGAAGGCGGCCGAGGCGTTTGTGACGCGGTGGTTGACGGACGGCGAAGAGGATGGTCGATCCAAGGCCAAGAATGGCACGTCAAGGGGAGGAACTTGCGCAGCCGCGACAGCACCGCTACGCATCACCCAAGCCACAGAGCTGGGCACCGTCCCGTGGCTGTTCTCGCACCTGCGGCAGACAATGCACGTGTACCTTTTTGACGTGGCGCCAGAGGACCGTGGCAGTATCAACCGGTCCAATCTGCCGACACCCGCGTCGTGCTGCTGGGCAACGGCGGCAGAGGCGGAGAAGAAGTACTCGATGGGCACGGGCATGCGCAAGTGCTGGGCTCTTGTGAGGGAGGCGGTTGAGTGATGTTCCGTGGGATTTATTTTGAATATGAACTTTTTTTTCGGCCATTTTAACATATTTGAAGACAGTGGACTCATACGACCACCGTTTCCTCTTTGGCTCTATCTGCCTTCATTCTGGTTTACCGTGTTCATCCCCCTACTTCCCTTGCCGCCCATCACGCTCACTCTTTGGTACACTTTGGCTTGTTGGCGGTCGAGGACGACGGCGACGGTGCCGGCCCCGTCGACGACTGCACCGTGCCGCACACCACGCCGTCGGTAAAGCACGGCACCCCTTGCTCGGCCGTGATCCACTCGGCCAGATCGACCGTCCACAGCGTCGTGCCCTGGCTGGCCGTGCAGTTGCAGGCCATGAGGGAGTCGCCGGTGTTGGGCAGCACGCAGTCGCGGCAGGTCGAGGAGAAGCTGACGGGGGCGGCGTTTCTACACGAGGCGCCAGTCAGCGGCGGCCGTCACACGTTAGGAGTACTTTAGGACTTGGGGAGGCACGGTGACGCGGAGGCACCACGCATGGGACTGGGACACGTACGACGGATGCGCCGGCTGGATGCCCTGCGTCGACGCGACGAGGGAGCTGTCCAGCGCCAGCAGCGACACCACGGACGACTGCGGCGACGGCCCGGCACAGCGTGTCCACAGGGACAGCTCGCCGCCCGCAACAAGATACTCGAGCCGCCATTCGGGACAGAGATCGGTGAAGGGAAAGGCCGGGTCGGGGGGTGCTGGGCGGTCGACGCCAATGCGAAGGCCGTAGGGCGGTTCGGCAATGGCGGCGGCCACGCCAAGGAGGAGCGGAAGAACGGCTGTGATGGGATGCATGCTGCTGAGATGTGGCAGGTGTGATGTGAAAGGCTGGTTGCTTGCGTGGTCTGTTTGACTGAAGCCTGTCTGGGTGTTCTCATTCACAAGGCCATGGTCTGGCTTTATGTTTCTTTGGCTTTCTCTCTGAGGTCCCCTGGTTGTTCCATTGCTTGACGCGTATACTGCTTTCAGATTTCGCCGACGCGTGACGGCTGATGTGAGTCTAAGTTGACGGGGATACAAACTGGAGCAGACAGGCACAAAGACGCAGAAGCGACACAAACTAAAGTGAGTCGAGTGGCATTGAAGAGTGATTTGAGCGAAGCCACCCTCGGCAATTAGATTGAGTTGTTGCACAGCGTTGGGTTTGACTCTGTTGTCTTCTCTCTCTGTCTTCCATTTCGGCCGAAGAAAGCGCCCTTCGCCTCTTTCGACGAGACATCAATATCGCAGTCTTTCTTGACGGCTGTTGCATAAACCAATAAATCACACACCCCTTCAGTTGCAGACGGTGTTCCTGGTTGTTCTTTCTTTTATGCCGGCCTCGCAGACGTCAAGGTCGACGAGACCTTGCTTTGGTGCGACGCTGCCCAGTTGTCTTCTTTATCTCTGTTGTTTTTCCTTTTTGTTCATTTTTACTTTTCCACATCCTTCTTCACTACAAGATCGTGGCCTACTTGAAAGCCTCGCCCTCTTTTTTGTTAACTCCTACCTGTTCCTCTTTGACATATCATCGTCCTGCAGGGCTGCAGACATGACTGTGTACGGTCTACGGCGTTTCGCCTCGCCTTTTGTGACCGGATTTATGGACGGTAAATCCGCTCTTCGATGCCCCGGGCCAACGAGAGAGGCTGAGAAGATCGACTTGCGAGAAAGGCCGACGGAGTCTGCTTCGCGTTGCGGACTTACTGCCGGTGCATTTTGGTGTCGAACGTTGTGATTGGCTGGCTGTGGAAGTCTTGACTTACACGCAATTGCTCCCATGCATTACTGTAATTGTTGTTTGGGACCTCGGGTTTGTCGTACATGCTCGCCCTGTCAACTCATGTCCTTGCCGGTCATGGCGATGTTAGGCACGTTGTCCCCATAGGTCGATGCCTGGCCGAGCCAAGCTGCCACTGAAACGCGTCGACGGAAACTACCAACAATCCGATGCTATTTTCCACGGAATTTTCGCATCTCGCCCGAGGATGGTGCTCCGTCGGCAAGACCCATTTCCGATCTGAAGAGATGCTGTATATTGCGTGACAGCTGGTGATGGGACATTGGATTGAGATGTGCAATGCAGTCGACAGCGTGATGATCAGACCCTGCAGCCTGTCAACTTGCGGCCATATTCACTCCTGTGCGTTTTGTGACGATGCATGGTGCTGTTAGTAGTTGGACTCGTAGTTGTATATAAGCGTCATGGTCGTCCACTTCGTTTGGATCATCGTGATGTTGATCGTGCAAACACTCCATCGACTACACTCCTCTCTGCCTTGACCGACTTCCTTTTCTCCATCTGCACATCTCGAAACCACCTCCATCATGACATCCTCCGTCTCTCTCGAGCTGCCGCCGCGCAGCATTGGCTTCGGCCGGCTCTTCCTCGACTCGCAGTTCATGCACTACGCCAAGTGGCCGCCCAAGTCGACCAACCTGCACGGCCAGACGGCCATTGTCACGGGCGCGTCGGCGGGTCTCGGCCTCGAAGCGTCGCGCCAGCTGCTCGACGTGGGGCTGTCGCGGCTCGTGGTGGCCGTCCGCTCCGTCGACCGAGGCGAGGCCGCCGCCGCGGCGCTGCGCACGTCGTTCCCGCGGGCGCGCATCGACGTGTGGCATCTCGAGATGGAGTCGTACACGTCGGTGCAGGCGTTTGCCGCGCGCGTGGCGGCCGAGCTGCCGCGGGTCGACGTGGTCCTCCTCAACGCCGGCATCGTCAGCGACGCGTTCCAGCGGTCGGCCGAGACGGGCCACGAGCGCGTCGTCCAGGTCAACTACCTGTCGACGTTTTTGCTGGCCATCCTGCTGCTGCCGACGCTCACGGCCAAGGCCCGCACGAGTGGCACCGGCACCCCCGCGCGCCTGACGATTGTCAACTCGGGCGTGGCCCTGGGCTCCCAGCACCCGTGGGACGCGACCCGCCCGCTGCTGGCGTCCTTTGACGACACGGCCCGCCAGCCCTGGAACGGCGTCGAGCGCTACTGGTCGTCCAAGCTGCTGGGCCAGCTGCTGTTCATCAAGCTGTTTCCGCTGGTCCGCACCGACGACGTCGTCTTCAACCTCGTCGACCCGGGCCTCGTCCGCGGCACGCTGCTGAACCGCGACACCGCGCAGCGCGGCAAGGCCGTGGCGCTGGCCCTCTGGCTGGTCAAGGCCGTGACGGGCCGCAGCCTCAAGGCCGGCGGGTCGACGTACGTGGACGCGGCCGTGGTCAAGGGCCAGGAGACGCACGGCTGCTTCATCATGGACTGGCAAGTGCGGCCGTTTGCCGACTTTGCATACACGGCCAAGGGCAAGGAGAACATGGAGGTGCTGTGGCAGGAGACGCTGGCCGAGTTCAAGTTTGCCGGCGTCGAAGACATTCTGGCGTCGCTGCAGAAGTGAGGGTGCAGAGGTTGATTTACTTTGATTTTGATACCTGGGTACGGCAGGTGTCGTTGATTAGTTGGTTTTATTAGTTTTATTATTGTGTGTCCATCAGATTACATTATTTGTAGAACGCATCGTCCCTCCGCAGCTGGCCCTCCTGGCTGGACCCGTCGTCGCACAGCGCAACACGGATGCTACACATGTCGCCCTCCTTTGACGTTGTCTCACGTGCTGTCCGCACGGTCTGCTGACTGCCCACAGACCGCAACGCGCGCTCGTCGTCGTCGTCGTCGATGCCGTGCTCCACATCGCGGCGGTGCTTCGTCGGCTGCTCCCTGCGCACCACGCTCTGCATCTCCTCTCCGCCGCCAGCACCGGCACCGTCGGCCGTCCGCACATCCGTCCCGCCGCCCGTGCCGGCCGACACGATGTAGTGGCGCAGCGTCAGCTGGTGCGCGTCGCGCAGCAGCACGCGCAGCACGGGGATCGAGGCGGCCATGATGGTGACGGCGGACTCGGCGGCGCCCCAGACGACGAGCGGCAGCATGACGTAGGTAAAGTCGGGCGACGACAGGGTGGGGATCTGCGAGGTCTTGACGATGGCGGTGGCGCCGGCGACGACGCCGAGGCTCATGGCGACGGCGACGCCGAGCTTCTCGGGGCGGCGCATCTGCAGCTGCCACACAATCTTCCACGGCAGCAGCGCCAGCACAAAGTCCATGACGGCCGAGTAGCCGGCGGCAAAGACGCCGTAGATGGGGTAGACCTGCGGCGCCCAGCAGGTGCCGGGCACGGCCGGGTTCCACGTCTTGGCGACGGGCGCGCAGCGCACCCACAGAAACAGCGCGTTGAGGCCCATGGCCACGTTCATGCTGCCCATCGCCAGCCACAGCAGCGCGCGCAGCCGCGGATGCCCCGACAGCAGCCGCAGCAGCGTCAGCGCAAACGACGTCTTGCTCCAGACGGCGGCCAGGATCGAAAAGGTGCCCGTCAGGTTGCCGAGCAGGCCCAGCCGGCCAAAGTGCGCCGGGTCGACGTCCCAGACGTGCTGGCCCTCGCCCAGCGCAATGGACCACGTCGACAGCGCGACCGACGCCGCCAGCGCCGCCCACGCGAGCACCATGACGTGGTCGTCCCACCAGAGCCGCCGCCGCGTGCAGAGCTTGCAGAGCAGGCGGGCGACCAGGAACGCGAGCGACAGCGCCGCCAGGCACCAGATGGAGAGCAGCGTCGACCGCCGCTTGTCGTCGTGCGGCAGGTTGGCGTACGCTGCCGGGGGAGGGACGCCGCCGTCTGTTGCGTTGGACGACATGCTGAGAGGCGATGTGATGAAGGGGTGAAGAGGCAAATGAGAGGGCCGGAGACCTGGACGAGACGAGGGAAGACAAACGATAGAAGAGAGAAACGAGACAGGAAAAGAGAGAACAGAAGAGGCCTATGGACGGTCTTCGTCAGATATAAATGGTACTCCACAGAAAAAGGGAGAAACAGCCAAGGAAACGAGGCATGAGAGACACGGTGCATGGGTTCTGGGATGGTGAGAAGCGATCTCGTCGATTGTATTTATCGACAGAACGAGACCAGAGCATTCTGTGGATTTCGCTTTCTGGTCGCATGGCATGCAGGGACAGGACATATCGACAAAGTGTGGGGAAGAGAGGCCCAGGCTGGCCGTGGCCCAAGATCCATCCCAATATTGGCCGACGCCGCCCGTCCACGCCTGGTTGTGTGCCACACTTTGTGCATTGTCGTGTCTTTTGCGCTTTTGCTTCAGTCGTCCGTCAGCCAGCCACGGCGCAGGGCAGGGTCCAACCGCCAAGCGGATAAGGTCAGGAGAGGAGTTGAAAGTGTACAGCAGTGTATGAAATATGTACGAAAATGTGCACCCAACGACAACAACGCACTCGTACAGCGCCCGAGAGCGCGTGACGAACCACTGTTGACTGTTGTTTGGGAGCATGTCGTGATCCTCCGTGCGCGAGGGCGAAAGGTGTGGACGGCGTGCTGGCGCAGTCTTGGTTCCCCCGTATTCTTGGTGGCAGCGGTGCATCGACCTCCTCCTCCTGTACCAAATACGCTTATTAAAGTAAACAATTCTCCGGGACGGCCATCCTTGTGAAAATGTTTACGGTCTAGTTTTGGCGGTATTGTAAATGTGTGGCTGGTTTCTTTCTCTCTCCTCTTTGCCTTCTCCTCTCCGCATTAGCGTTGCTTTCTGCATGTTGCACGGTCGGGACTCGACAGAAGAGGAACAAAAAGGCCAAAGATCCCAGCTAGATCTGCGGCAACACGGACCTTTTCTGTTGCCTTTTCTGTTGTCTTTTCTGTTTCCGTCTTCCTTTTCTGTCTTCTCGCCGTTGGACCTTTTTTTTCTCATCCTTCTTACGGTCGTCTGCAGGTCGGCACACACAAGCCAAAAGAGGACGAAAAGGAGACGAAAAGAGGACCAGCAGCAAGATGCAAACTTTACAATACCTTGAGAGATGCTACAACACAAACGCAACGTACACTCGACGACCCGCGAGCCATGCATGCACGTGCGGGCGAGCGAAATGGCCCCTGTTCTGCGTTGTGCGGGCGCGTGGTTGGTCCTGCGCACGGCCATTGCTTTACAATATTTGACCGTGTTGAGAAAAAAAATGCTGTTCACGTCAACGTATAGACTCTGAAAGACTGACCAACCTGAACAGGAACAAATCCGGTCGACGCTCTGTTTCCCCGCCCCAGGACACACCAAACACGAATCATATCTGGCCTGCTATGATCGCCGACTAGATCGAAACACTGGAGAAGCACCGACGGAGCAAACCAAAAGAAATGCAGTGCAGAAAATGCAGCACAGAAACACAAACACAGAAATAAAGCTGCGGGGTGCATCGGCTTGATACACATCCAATGCACGGCAGGTCTCTGACCGCGTCTGTTTCCCGTTTCTGTGGACCGTGTATGTTGTACTTCGTACCGGAAAAGCGTTTTCATAACGAACCAGGTATGCCAATATACCGGCCCTGGAGGGACGAGTCTGCGAGACGAGGCGGGGTTTGGCAGAGTCGTCCTTTGCGTTGGTCGTCCTTTGCGAGCGAAAAGGTGTGTATGCGCTTTGACGCTCCCACTGGACGCAGCAGCCACACAAGTTCCCCACGTTGACTGGCACTCAGCTCTCGATAGACCCTTCCTTGCCCCTTTGCCCCTTTGCCCCTTTGCCCCTTTCGACGCCAGGACCGTACGTCCCAGGGCGTGTCGTCGTTGGTCACTGGATCTTGAGGGGCAATAAGGCTCGGGCCTCGCGTCGAGGTGGCTGCTTCATCAATTAAGATGGGATGGGATTTGTGCATGTTCCTTCTTGGGGTGGCAGATGGTGAACCTTCCCTTGACCAAGCTGGGCATGAGCCTCTGCAATACAAAACGAGAGGGTGCCGACACATGGCAAGCTAATTCGAACCTTTGCAATTTGTTTCTACGGCGCAATACCATCAAGCAATGCCATCAAACACGAATGTCTCTCTCTCAAACCGCCTAACCGCCTCGCAAATTGGCCCTACTTCTTACCACCCTCCACTGTTCGCTTTGTCCCCAGGACCACTCCAATCGTCGCGTCCCAGACGGTGGCGCCGCCGAGGCACAGGACTGTCGCAAACAGCTGCACCAGCGCCCACAGCCACGCGCCCGCGCTGAGCGTAAAGAACTTGAACACCTCGTTGACCTGGTAGTGGTCCTCGTGCCGCGCAATGTAGTACCGTGTCCGCGGCGGCTGGTGCGCCGCGTCCGTGCCGGGGACGCCGTTGACCTGCCGGTTGCGCGCTGTGTTGGGTTCGTGTCCTTGCTGTCCTTGTGCTTGCTGTCCTTGCTGTGCGGCCTGGGCGTGCTGCGCCGCCACCGCCGCATAGCTGTTGCCGTCGTGCCCCTGGCCGTCCACGACCGCGGCGAGGTGCAGCTCCACGACCAGCCGCACATGCGCCGCGTACAGCGGCACAAACCACAGCGCAAACCGCTGGTGCATCGCCACGTACAGCCGGTGCTGCGCCGCGTCCCACGCCACCGACTCGATGCCCAGCACAATCTGCGGGCTCAGGATCTTGTACCACCGGAAGATGGCCGCAATCAGCCGCCGGGAGTTGACGCGGTCGGCCGCCTGCGCGCCGCCGTGCCGCTCCACCAAGTCGACGAGGCGGTCCGGCGCGTGCTGGCGGACGCTCTCCTTGCCGGAGCCCGAGCCAAAGCCGGGCACGCGGCACAGCGGGTGCACAAACTCGGCGTCGGGGAGGTAGTACCGGCGGATGGCGGCCTGCTGTTCGGCCGGCGGCTGCGTGCACAGCGTCTGGATGACGTCGCGGATTTCTTGCGCTGTGCAATGAGCGCGTTTGTTAGTGGATGGTCCAAGGTCCGGCGATGCAAGGGGTGCTGGACAGCATACCTGGGTGCTCCATGTTGTGCTGTTGCTTCTGCAATTGTTTCGATTTGATTCTTGAGTTGACGATATGGAAAGAAACAGAGTCGGAATGTTTTTGTCTTTACAGCTTTGCAGCTTTGCAATCACATGCCTTTGGGTCGGTGCTTTTGTCCGTCGATGACGTCAGCTGGAGCCGCCAGTAGCGCTAATGACGGCTCCCCTAGAAGCTACAGCTGCACGCTATTTACGACCTCTTTCATTAGCAACATGGAGAGGTATTTCATCAGCTGTAAAAGGTGGTGATATTCTCGATCATTAGGTAATGTTGTTATTCTTAGCTATCTGCTTAATTTCGAACAGTTCGGCGGGCATTCTGTACAAATAATGGCGGTGTTCTGGGACACAGGCAATTCCACACCATGAGCAACTTTGCATCCGTTGTCCAGTCAAGTGGCCATACAGAAGTACACAGAATTCAACTCAGCAGCGTCCAAAGCCTCCCAGTGGGGCGACCGAATCCCGCGAGCAGGCAATCATCTCGTTCTCCACGTCAACTGTGTATCTTATGTGTCTGGAATGCCCCCTCTGGGTTAACGCCGAATTGTCGACCTCGCCGCGGTCTCCAAGGTTTGTGACCTAATATTAAACGTCAGTACATTGGATATGTTGTGAGATGGTTCATTTTTATTGCATTATAAGAACACACGACTGGAGATATATCTGGTAGTTTTGCACCGCACCCCGTCCCTTACACAAGACATCCCGCGTCTTTCAACCGCCAGAACAAGAGGTTTGACGAAATATGCCTCACCTAAGGATGTACTGGTCAGGTGCCTTATCACGTGCAGGAAATAGGGGTAATTGTGGGACTATTTTTGGGAGATGAAAACCATGGAATTCGGGGGCACTTTTGTGAAAAACATGGCGATGTTCTACAACACACGCAATACCACATACAATTAAGGAACTCTGAAATACATTACCCAATCTAATGGCCATATACTGAATTCAACAACTTTTCGGGCATATTGGGCCAGTTTTTTGCAAAAAGCTCCACTACGGTCGGCGGTGCGTTCCGAGTAAACTGACACTAAATCACTTGTACTGGCACATACCGACCACTGTTTCATCGAATAGCTTACCATCTCTGTAGCTGTCTATGATGGCCGGGCCGGCTACCTTGGCCAGGAGATTCCTGCCGATAAACAACGACCGGACTGGACGGCGAGCCCTACTCTACGGAGCCTGATTAAAAAGTTGAATTGGATCATTGGGGAGTGGGAGAAAGAGATGGTCAAATACAGCAGAGCCGTAGGTGACTTCTCGTCTGACGTAACCAAGAATCTACACTAAACTTGACTTGTGGTATTGCTGCCGTACAATGCGGATGCTGTTCGCTTCAAAGGGATGGAGGATATTGTGTGTTGGTACTCCTTTGTCAAAGTCGATATGTTTAAATTAAGACCTCGAACTTGGCTTGCATATTTCCATTTTTTAATATTTTATCGACCCTGACTCGGTCCTGACTGTATCAAATTTCTGTCTCTGGAACCGTGACGCCTTCTTCCCTTCAAGGGAGCTGGATGTTGCTCTTTAACAAACGCACGATTCTGATGGCTGAAACTATCTCCCAAACATCACAGCGCCCTTATCCCGCGGGACACCATCGTCTTTTACAACATACTCTGTACATATTCCTCTTCTATACTTGGATTCCCTTTACTTGAAACAACATCTTTTTGCTATTCATAGAAGGCTTTGTTGAGGCCCCGCCCAGCGGACAGTGCCTCGTTGGGAGATGTTTGCCCGTGAGGCCCATGAAAGCGGCCAAGCGGCAACAGTTGGGGGCCATCAGGCGAACAACGACGTTGCATGGGCGCGTAAATATGAGGACATCGGGTACCAGGTTCGACCTCAGCGGCTGCTGCCTAATGGGCAGAGGTATGCCTTGTGTATTTAATTCTTCTTGTGGCCTCTCAATTCCTTGCGTCATTTCTTGGTGTCACCTTCTTTTCTATTTATCTTACCATTCTTCAGTTCACCATCTCCACCAGCAGCAAGTCGTCAGCATCAAAAAACCAGAATCACCAACACCAACGTACCAACATGGACAAGGCAACAACCAGCCGAGACAGCGCCCAGTCTGGCGACCGCTCGTCCCAATCCACGGACACGTTTTCTGTCCCCAGCTCGTCTGGCGCCATTCCGTCGACCGTCGTCGCTCCCAAGGCCAGCCATCTGCGTGCAGAGGCGGCCCCGACCAACACAGCGGCTGTATCCAGCACTGCAGCGCCAACCGTGAGCCGCTGGAGCGACGGGACCTTTGGTTCTGCGGCCGGCGGCAGCGATGCCCCGTCCACGACGTCGGGGGGCTCTGGTCCAGCGGGTAGCTTGAGCACCTACAGCGGCAAATCGGCCCAGGCAACCACGGCTCAAGCGGCCACTGCGACGGTGGTAGACTTGGGTGCGGCTCGCCAGCCCCAGCACAACGCTGGATCTACCAACCGCACCCCATATCAAGCTCCGAAAGTCGATAGCTCACAGGTCGTTGCAGAAATTACCAATGCCAACCCCGTCTATTTGAAGATGGTGCTCTCGAGCGGTGAGAAATCCCGTTTGGTGAGGGAAAGGACCCAATTCAAAAATAAGCCTACATAGTTTGGAAGTTTGTAGTATTTTAGTTAAACAGCCTCGGCAGCCTAGATAGAACCCAGAACTACGCTGTACTCTTCCTTGAGCCATCTACTGTAACAACTCTCTTGCAGCTTTTAAATAAAGGCCGCCTTGACCAGTTACAGAAGGGTTCTGGCGCCTGGGCGACAATTTCCCGGCACCCAGCAACCCCCGCAATGTTAATTAGCACGCAGAATTCAGTGTCATCACTTTAGACGCATTGATATTGCCCGTTTACCGTCTGTCCGTAATTAAATGTCGACATGTATGGTCGTGTTCCGTCAAGCATTTGTTGGAAATTCAATGGTACTTCAGGGCTGTTGTCTAGCCTTAGTGTTAGTGGGCTCTCTATTTTGCCAGTTTGCATAGCGGTCTAGTACACAATAGTTTCTGGAGCATTTAATCAATGATTAGTCATCCAAGATTCCTCATGCTCATTGGTTGTCACTTTCAGGGGCGGATGGAGTTGCGGCTGATGGACATCATCAAAAACTAAATAACTGTCGAGCAAGTGGACACGGTCTGAACACCGCGCATTTGGCAGCTCCTTTCGCCCTACGAATATGCCGGCCACCATCTACCAAACACACGGTACGTCCATCAGCCGTGAAGATGCGCTCGCCAGCGAGAAGAATGTCGTCGTGCGACACGCCCAATTCTTCTCCTTGGTGGACGTCACCACGCGCCTACTGAATGACCAGTTCGCCGTGATTACGTTGGTGGCTATGCATATTGGCGTCAACCCTGCATGCATCGAAATAGCCCATTTCACGACCTGGAAACGCGGCGGGTTTAACGTCGTCATTCCCATGTTTGTCAGGGATAAGGAAGCGGACACGGATCGTGTTGACGCCATGAGGCCGCCAAACCAACAAGGGGATCAAGATGCGAACCAAGTCTTGCTACGCATCCCTTTGCCGGCCAAAGTCAGCGAGGAGCAGAATCCCGGGTCTGTGATGGACAAGCTACGTTGTGAGACGGCGTCCTACATTTATATGCAGCGGCATTGCCCCGAAGTGCGCATACCACACCTTTACGCCATCGGTTTTCCGGGAGCGAGCGGCCAGCATGTATGTGCAGTACCCTTGGATCTCTTGCGTTGTGTTTATGACTGGATATCTTCTCTCAACCGGCATTGCTGACCTTCAGTTCACTCACGCATCCCACCTTTCCATCTTCCGGCGTGTTGCGCTCTACGTCCGACAGGTCTTTGCGTCCTGGTTTCGTCGACCGGTGCCCTCCGACTATATTCCTGTCACCCTACCGCCCGGCCCGATACCCCAGCCGCTGGAAGACACCGGCTACATGATCCTCGAGAACCTGAGCGAGGCCCGCTTCGGCAAACAGCTCCCCTACGTTGTGCCCCGCGACCGACCGCTCCAAGGGCTGTTTGCCGACGAACCCATCAAGACGCGCAACCTCTGCCGTGACCTCTCCCGTTTGATGCTGTCCCTCGCCCGCGTGCCGCAACCACGGATCGGTGCCTTTCGCTTTTGCTTGGCTGACGGCACCATTCGCCTCGACGGCCGGCCTGCAACGTGCGACATGGCCATTTGCGAGACCGAGGGTGCCGCACGAACCGTCGGACTCGACACGACGTACACAAGCGCCGACCGTTACCTGGCGGACCTTGCGCGCTTTCACGAGTCCGCGTTCCGCACCAAGCCCAATGCCGCCCTGGGTGAGAATGATGCCGAGTATCAGATGGGGATCATGGTGGCTCTGCGGGCCATAGCGCACCATTTCGTGGGCGGCTCAGGTCCTGGGCCCGGACCTGACGAGAACGCAAGGCGCGGCGACGGCCAGCCGTTTCTTCTGCACCTCTCCGACAGCAACCCAGGCAACCTTCTCGTGGACGACGACTGGCACATTACCGCCATCTTTGACCTCGAGTGGCTCTTTGCCGCACCCATCGACCAGCTGCGCCCGCCGTCGTGGCTGACATGGGAGTCCATTGACTTTGTAGCAGGGGAAGGCTACGACAGCTACTGTGCGGCCCGCAAGGTCTATATGGACATCTTCCGCGAGGAAGAAGAGAAAATGGGCATGGCGGACCGGGCAGCAGACGACAAAATACGACTCAGCGATGCCATGGACGCTAGCTGGACATCTGAGCTTGCATGGTTCTACCTTGCGCTCACGTCTGTTGACGGTATGACACAGATTTATGAAAGACGCTTCCGGCCGCTGTTTTGGCCTAGAATAAGCAAAAACAAGGATGAGAGCAAGGGCGAAAGCAAAGACGAAAGCAAAGACGAAAGCAAAGACGAAAGCAAAGACGAAAGCAAAGACGAAAGCAAGGACGAAAGCAAGGACGAAAGCAAGGACGAAAGCAAGGACGAAAACACACAAACAGACCCAACAGAGTACAACACTCTAAGCCAGTTCTGGCAGCCCGACGCTCGAGCCGTCATAGCCCAAAAGGTGCTTGACAGAGAACAGCACAAGGCGGCCATCGAGCGGCTGTTTGAGGACAAAGAGTGACGGAACGATTTCCGAGCTTGAAAATTAGATATCAAAATTACATGCAGGGCATTCGATGTAACACGCTTCCCCATCGCAAACTGTCTGAAATTGCGTCAGAAATTCAGCCTTGTCCATGCGCTAGCATGGAGAGAGGATCAACAAATGAACGGCGCCTACATGGGTTCTGGGGATCGACGGGAGAATGAGTGGAGAAATGTAGAGAAACACTGGGGCCCCAATCCTACCTGCACGTCAGCATGTCGTGTCAAGGAGGAGTCGATGAGGTTTGTTTGTCCTGGACCTGTCTGTGGGCGTTGTGAGGTAAGGAGTATTCTCAGACCATCGTCAAAATGCCGCTGGCACGGTACTTCGCTCTTTGACTTTCGACATCTGGATTCCGTTGTACACTTTGCTGGACTCATTCGCCATGGCCACTCTTGACGAGTACCTCGCAAAGGCGACATCGCCCGGTCCGGCACGCACGCTGCCGGGCTGCGTCATGATTGCCTACCAAACAGCAACGGGCCAGGCACGCTGCAAGTCGTTTGGCACCGAGTCGGTCGATCCGAGCTCGCCACGCGCCGACAAACCACTGTCCGTCGACAGCTGCATGTGGGTGGCGTCGTGCACGAAGCTGATGACGGCCATTGCGGCGCTGCAGTGCGTCGAAAAGGGCCTCCTGATGCTCGACGACGACATCTCTCTGGTGCTGCCCGAATGGAACGAAGCGCGCAACATCCTCCTCGGCTTTGACGAGGCCACGGGCGCCCCGCTGCTCGAACCCACCACGAGCCCAATCACGCTGCGGATGCTGCTGACGCAATGCAGCGGACTCTCGTATGCTTTTATGAACGAGTCGTTTAAAAAGTACATCAAGTACCAGGTGGCCTGCGGGTGGAAGCCCGAGGCGAACTCGGAGCTGCTGGCGCCCGACTTTCCCGTGCCGCTGCTCTTTGAGCCAGGCACCAGCTGGAACTATGGCATTGGCACCGACTGGGCTGGCAGGATGGTCGAGCGGGCCACTGGGTTGACGCTGGGCGTGTACATGGACCAGTACATCTGGCAGCCGCTGGGCATGACCAAAACGACGTTCCGCATCCTCGACCGGCCCGACATCTGCAGCCGCATGGCCCAAATGTCGGTGCGCACGAGCGGCAGTGACGGCCGCCTCGCCCCGTATCCCGATTACTACTTCCCCGTGACCACCACAAACGACTACGGCGGCAGCGGCGTCTTTACGAGCCCCCGCGAATTCTTCAAAGTGCTCGTCGCCTGTGTCGACAGCAACCCCGTCCTCCTCTCGCCCGTGGGCTATGGGCTGCTGTGCGCGCCGTCGTTGCCGCCGCTGGCCGCGGCCGCCTATCAGACGATCCGCACGAGTCTCGTCGCAGCTGCCAACGCCGCCGCCCAGGAACGCGGCACGCCCATCCCCGTCCCCAGCCCGACGCAGTACAACTATGCGCTGGGCGGCATGCTCAACCTCGACGACGTGCCGGGCGGCCGCCGCGCCGGAACGATCTCCTGGGGCGGGCTGCCGAACTTGACGTGGACCGTCGACCGCGCTGCCGGCGTCGCCACCCTCTATGCGAGCCAGCTGCTGCCGCCGGGCGAGTCGTTGACGGCATGGATCGTCCGGGCGCTCGAGGCAGAGGTGTACAGCGGGGCGTTTTTTAAGAATGCGACTCTATTGGGAAAGTGGAAGAATCGATGGCGATAGATGTGTCGACGACAAACAGTGACACAGCACGAATGCCCATGTGCAATGGCAATGGCTATTTGGATGGAATGGATTCTACACTGCTACCGAGCAGAGGTATGACAACGACGGACGTCTGGTGATGCAGTCGAAAGTCACAGCACTTGTCACGGCTTGACATAAGTAGACTTTGTGACGGCATACGTGACGGGTTTTTATTTTATTTTTTTTATATATAAACACCAATGATTCTCCCTCGTATGCTATAAATGGATGCGAGCCCCTTTATCGTCCTCATCAATGTAATGCTGCTCCAACAACTCGTGGCAGCCACAAAACACATCGACATCATGTGTGTCCAATTCTACATGAGATTTAAGTACGACTGCGGTCACCAGCAATCCGAAAAGATGGACAAGATACAATGCGACTCCATGTTTTGTGACAGTCTTTCCCAGAAAAGTGAAACTGTATTTATGAAGGGCAGCTGCGTTTCTTGCATCAGAAACGGGAGATAGCTGGACGTTGCTGCTGCGTTGCCCAAGTTGAATTACAATGCAATGATTAAAGGGTCAAGTCAATGCCAACCAGTTTTTGCATTCATTCATGTCGTTGATATCCCATGATGTTGCCTCGGTGTGCTCATGCGTCGATGTAAATATGTCATGAGCAGAAGTTTTCCTTTATTTTTATTCACCTTTCTTTGGGCTGTGCATTTATTTATTTCATCGTTCTTTTCCTGTTCTTTTTTTTTCACCTTTTAATGTCCCTAAGAATTTCAAGCATATTTCGTGCCATGTATTTCATATTTTCCTTAACTGTACTTTTTCTATTTTGTTTTCTAATTTAAAGGTACTTTTGCGTACCTAGAAATCTTTTCATTTCGAAACTGTATTCACAAAGGTGCCAATATCCATGTGGACAAACGGAGTGCCTGGCAGTTCAACAATACGTAAAAGTCAACATAATGGAAACCAACAAGGAATATCCTTTTCTAGTTCTCATATTTAAAACTATCTCAACTTAACCGGAGTACAACGGACATGTATACCCTTCAGTGTAAATAAGCTGTCGAGACAGACCTGATGGCCACGCTTTCCCCTCTCGGTCTGCGCGCCTGCCCTTGTCTTGCGCATGTGCGCCTTCCCGCGTGCGCTGTGGGTCCACACGAAGCAGCCCCACCTGCCTTTGTAGACTGTTTCGGCCAATCCCTAGGCTGCTCTTTCCGTATTCCCGCCTGCCAATGCTAAAAGTGACTTGTGCACCACTGTCGCACCTGCCAAACCAACCTAAAATTACGTCGAACAGCTGTCCCTCCCCTGTCGCCTTGCACCCCGCCGGGCGATGCTTAGGCCCCTGAGTCGGCAGCTTTAGGCGGCCCTTGTTCAATTTTAACCCGCTGGTCTACGGTCTTGTCCTACGTATTGCGTATTTCCATATTAAAACTTGCATTTAATTTTATTCTTCTTCAGCATGCGGATGACGCGCGATCACAGTGCGCACCTTCCCTGCTTGGCGGCGCTTGCCCCCTACCTGTCGCAGACACACTGTCGGCTCTTTCCCTGCAACTTGACTGGCCCTCATCACTTCCCCTTCTGCCGCATTCCATCATTTTGGCGGGCGAAAGGTGCTTTTCTCTTCCTCCTTTTGCCAATTTAATCAACATCACCACCTCATCTTTCCAATCCCCCCCAACGACCACGAGACGACGGATCGTGTATTTTGTATCAAATCCTTTATTTTCTTTTCTTGCACCGTTTCTATTTCTTCTGTTTTAGTACCCCCACCTTCTCTTAATTCTTCTCTGGCGCCGTTGTTCAACAACAGCCAGATTGGTGATTTTTGTGAGTTTCTCGAGTTCTACAATATTCTGCTTCGTCCTGGCCTCGACCTTCCCCTCTTCCCTTGCTTTCGGCGATGCTAGTGCCTCTCTCGAGTACCAAATCTACGATGCGAGCAACAACGATGATCTTTACGGCACGAGTTGGGATGCGGTAGTGAGCACCGCAACCGCAGCGACACGACTTTGCGATTGACGCCTTATCTCGCCCACCAAAAACAACAATCCCTGCGGGTTCGACAACCTTGACAGCCTCGACGACCTCGAAAACACGACATCCTCCTGCTGCAATTGTTCCTTCATCGTTGCAAAATGCAGCACAGGCCCTCGCGTCATCGACCATGGGATGGGGCTGTCGTTTTGGGGACCTTGACGGATAGACTCGTTCTGTTGCCCTCCAAATACAATTTCCAACCCGAAGCTCAACCCAACGCCGTGCGCGATCTCTGAACCTCTGCTTAACGCGCAGCACGGCGCAAAACGACAACGACGCAAACTCCAAATCAGTTTTTACACAGGGGCACGAGCAAACAGGCGCAGATCGATCTGTTAATTGGCACTCGCAATCGTATTCGACATTGAGACACACCAGGCCGCACTGTTGGGGCGCTGCGTCCATTCCGTCACGTTACCATAACTGCCACAGCTTTTTCACTGTAACTAACCCGTATCTTACATCGACAGTTCCCTGCTAGACTATTGAGATACCCATCGATTTTACCATCATAACCTGTTTCTATCGAATTACAGCATCTATAGAAAGCATCCAGCCGGTCGACATTTTATTCGGGTTTTCGTCTCCTCTGCCAACGAAACGAATCATTACGACGCACGCAATCGAGGCAATCGACTGTTCCCACCTACATTCCCAAATCAATCCAAACGATATCCGACACCAAGTTCGCAAAGTATCGCGGACTGTGCATCACCCTCTTTCTTCGTCTCAAACCACCACACTATATTGCCTTCGCCCGGTGCTCGTGTCTTAGAAAGGACCGGCACTGCGGCGTAAAGGACTACCACCACCATGTTCTGGAAATTTGGCGGCTACGCCAATATATCCCCTATTGATGCTATTCTCGACCGCCCCGACTTCACACTAGAGGAGCTGCTCGACGAGGGTGACCTGCTGGGTGATGTTAAGGCCCATAATAACAAGCTGCTCGAGTTTCTTCGCCAGAAAGACATCGTTCTGAAGCTGCTTGCGTACGTTGTCGCGCCCAAGGTCGAGCCGGTCGCCGGCCCTCCAACGACCGAGGAGACAGAGAGAACAGACAGCGCGGAAGGGGAGCTGCCATCGGAGCCGCCTGAAGAGGACATTGAGCGCGGCCGGTCACGCATCTTTGGCCGGTCGCGTGCTTCTTCCTCGGTCACCGATGGCGGGCTGGATGAGGAGGACGAGGCCGAGAAGAAGCGCATGCGGTATGCCTTTGTCTCCTGCGAGATTCTGGCGTCCGACAACTGGTCCATCTGCGACACGCTTCTGGACCCCGCCAACCGCGCCGAGCTGAACAAGTTCTGGGAGTTCCTCAAGCGTCCTTCTCCGCTGGATCCCCTGCAGGCCAGCTACTTCACCAAGGTCAACGAGTCGCTTTTCGACAAGAAGGTGGAGGACATGGTCAACTTCCTCAAGGGCGTCGACGGCGCCGTTCAGGATATGCTGCGCCATGTCGACTGTCCCATGGTCATGGACCTGTTGCTGAAGATCATCACGCTTGACCGCCCCGAAGCCTATCAAGGCATTGTTGAGGTAAGAACGACATGCACTGTGCTGGTTTCTTCTTACTGTCCTTGCTGCTATTCTCTGTCTTGCCGCTAACCTTGGTTCTAGTGGCTCTACACGCAAGACATTATGCCGACCCTCCTCGCCTTCCTCAGCCCCGAAAACAGCTGGGCAACGCAGACGTCTGCAGGCGATTTCATCAAGGCCATTATCACTGTGTCGGCCAATGCGACCCAGCACGAGCAAACGTGCATCGGTCCGAACGAGCTCACCCGCCAACTGGTCTCCCACCCCTGCATCGATGAACTCATCGGCTACATGCTCAAGGGCGGCAACGCTCTTACCGTCGGCGTGGGTATCGTCATTGAGGTTATCAGGAAAAATAACTCTGACTACGACCCGGATGTGGGCACCGAAGCCAACTCCATCCCGTCCAGTCGCGACCCCATTTACCTCGGCACCCTGCTGCGCATGTTTGCCCAGAACGTACCCAACTTCATGCAGCTGATGAACAACGCGCCCGCTCAAAAGTCTCGACTTAACTCGACGTTTGGTGAGAAGATTGAGCCACTGGGCTTTGACCGCTTCAAGACTTGTGAGCTCATGGCTGAGCTGCTCCACTGCAGCAACATGGGCCTTCTCAACGAGGTCGGCTCCGAAGAACTGATTGCTGCCCGCGACGCCCAGCGCAAGCGCCTACGTGAAGAGGGCAAGCTCACTGGCACCCGCGGCGAAGAAGCGAATCCCTCCAACACCGACCTCCTGACCATGAGCCTGGCGCACACCTCCCCAACTGACGAGGGCCGCCGCCTGGAAGTCACCAACGTTTCGGCCGCTGATGAGGATGGATTTGAGGAAGTGACGCATGCAGCCGGTCTTGGCGAGGACGAACCCGTCCGAGAACTGGAGCTGCCCAGCCGGCTTGCACCGGCGTCTGGCTCTGCAGCAACGCCATCCTTCATGGATAAGGACGAGGACGACTTTGTTGAGGAGCCCCTCAGCTCGCCGCGCCTCAAGACACACGACGAGAAGATCGCAAGCAGCGACGACCAGCACTTTGACGACCCGGAGCTTCTTGTTGCTCCCCTCTCACCGAGCAAGCGGAAGAGCGTCCCAGTCGAGGGTTCGACATCAGGCACCCTTGTGCCCGTCCCCCCCAAGGATGACCCTGCCGAAGGCTCCGACGACTTTGTCACCGAAGCCACCGAGCCCGCTCTTGGCGACGAGGCCAAGAGAATGGTGCCCGACCTCGAGAAGGGCGACGACTCCGACTCGTCCATTATGTTCACACCGACCATTTCCAGCTTATCGTCCCGCCGTTCGCCTAGCCCGACTGCTGAGCGGACCGTCGCACCGACCGATGAGGTCATGGCGAACACTCCTCAGACGCCCAGTATAAAGACCGAAGAGAACACTGACGGCAGAGCCGATTCTGGTACCCCGACAACGACGCCACCTACCGAGACCCCGGCGATTTTTGCCCACGAGATCCCTACAGAACCGAAGCAGGTGCAAGACGAGAAGGAGGACGCCAAAGCTGCTGCTAGCAACGGAGATACGGAGATGGAGTTTGGTGACGCATCAATTATCGTCACGCAGCAGCCCTCCGAGGCCGGTGCAGCTGCCGAGTCTGCTCCCGGTGCTCCCGTTTCCGACCCGGTTGTCGGCGACTTCTTGAAGATGCAGTTTGTCGACCACCGCGTCGTGCCGACAATTTTGGTCGGTTCTACCTGTGCTTATTCACACTGGCCATTTTGTCGTTTACTAATCCCCCCCTCTAGTCCTTCTTTTTCTCCTATCCCTGGAACAACTTTTTGCACAACGTCGTGTATGACGTTGTACAGCAGGTGTTCAACGGTCCTATGGACCGGGGCTTCAACCCCCACCTGGCCATCTCCCTGTTCGAGTCGGCCGACATTACGACTCAGATCGTCAACGGCCAGCTGGTCTCCGAGCAGTCCCAGGCTGCCACGCGCATGCGCATGGGCTACATGGGCCACCTGACCCTCATCGCCGAGGAGGTCGTCAAGTTCACCGAGCGCCACCCGGCTGAGCTTTTGTCCGAGACGGTCGTCTCGAAAATCATGTCGCCCGACTGGACCAACTACATTGACGGCACGCTTACTGAAACGCGCGAACGCGATAATGCCACACTGGGCGGTGTGCGACCTGAAGTAGCTATGGGCAACCATGCCGCGGCTGCTGGACTTGCTGCCGTGGGCCTGTCGGGCCTGGGCTCGTCACTCACATCACTCGGCCTCTCCAACTCCCAAGGCACATCCAATGCCCTGGCGGAGGCGGGCCTGAATGGCAGCCTGGACCTGAACAGCGACAGCATGGACCTCCAGGGCAGCAACGATGGCCACTTCTCCATCAGCGCCGGCATCTCCTCGGGCTTCCACAGCTCGAGCGACGAAGACGATGACGACGCGGACGACAACGACGAAGACATCAACAATGAGGTTAGTATAAGTGATTCCCCCCTCCAAGCATACCGCGGCGTCCGCCTTGCCCAGGAAGGTGGACGTCGTGTCCTTGAGTGTGAAGACTGCATCAATGAAATTCGACGTGGAACGAAACCATTTGACGAGTATTGCCACCACACGTTGGACGGCGTTGCCGATGGGGTTGCCAATGGGGATGCCAATGCCGACTGCGACCCCGACCCCAACGAGGACCTGAGCATGGAAGACTATACCAACGACGACAATACCCCAGCACCGGATGCCGCTGAGGAGAGCACAAATGACAGATGTGACCACGGAGACGGAGACCAAGACCATGGCTACGACCACAGAGACCAAGCCGATGAGGATGTGAACATGGAGGATAAGGACCAGAACGGAGGGGAGACCACGTGTGGCTCCGACGACCCTTGCAATTGCGAACCGGCGCATGTCTCCAGGTAGAGCCTAGAGCTGCTGCCGGCTGCATCTGCATTGGGATTTGCGGTGGCACCGACTGCCGCGAATAGCGAACCGAATAGCGACCCAAGCGGTGCCGCGCTCCAAGAACTGTTTTCGGACCCAGCGCCCATCGGACTGCGATTTAATGGAACCGGCGACATCCGTGAGCCCGCAGCCGGAGACGCATTCTGCCAGAGCACACGTGGTCGGAACGACCGAGGTGACGAATGCGAGAACAGTGTGAGCGGAGTCGAAACCATCGATAGAACCGACTACGACAACGTGCCACATGCCGCCTACCATAGCAGGGGAGATTTCCAACAGCGGGCCCAGAATGCCACGGACCTCGTATTGAGACTGCGGAGGACGGTTGCGCAGCGGTTTCGCCGGGGGTAATTGGGCGTGGCTACGATTATGATTGGGGTCTATCAGCGATTGGTTGTTTGCGTTGTCTGTGTTGTCCGCCTGGGATTGGCCGGTATGTGCGTGATGTGGGTTGTTGCTACGCTGAGTATTATCTGTTATGGAAGATGCTCAGGCAAGAGAAAGATACTGTGGCACACTTTCTCTGTGTGGCCGAAAGAGCAACAGGACATTGATTACACTGCTAACCGTTCCCTCTGGTCTCCACGTGGTTTTGGACTTGCCGTTTTTGGATTTCTTGGTCTTGGTCTTTCCTGGTCGTCTGGTCTTCGCGTGGGTCGTGCTTGCTACGTCTGGCGCCCGCCGCTCCTTCCGCTCCGATGCAGACACCTGGTCGCTACTTCCATTCTTGCCAGCCAACTCGGCTATTGCGACCACACTCGACTCGCACCATCTTCGGACATTGCAGCTCCATGCCTTGGATACAGTTCTTGTTTTGATTCTTTTGACTTTGGGCCGTCCACTAACAGCTGTACAGTTCCGCGCATACACGGATCCCCTGAACGCATCCAACTCCCTCCTGCCACCGGCCATCCCGCCACCGCCACCGCCGCCACCGCCTTTGAACGTCCCTCCCTCGCGTGCCCGCCAGCTGCTCGCAGCCCGCCTTGCGATGAACAAGCGCAACGCCGAGGCCGCTGGTGCACAAGAGAACGGCAACGAGCGTGAACAGGGTACCAGCAACAGTGGCTCGGGTATAGGCAGCGGTGGTGGCGCTGTGGGCGGCGGCGGCAGCGGCGGCAACAACAGCAACGACAGCAACGACAGCAACGACAGCAACGACGACCGCGACATCTCGCTCGGCGCGGCCAGCAAGTCGTTGACGGCGATGCTCGACAGCGGCGGCGAGCGCCTGCGCAACCCCTTTGCTGACGACGAGGACGACGATGTGGACGCCGACGAGGACGCCGATGAAGACGAGGACGACGATGACAACGACGACGAAGACGCCGGCCTGAACGGCGGCGACGTCGGCCGCGTGGGTCTTGGCTGGAACCGCGGCGGCTGGTGGCGGTCGATGGTGTCGCGTGCCGACAAGGGCGGTCGTAACGGGCAAGGCGGCACCGGCACCGGCGGCGGCGGTAGCAGTAGTAGCGGCGGCGGCGGCCATGAAAAGTTTGGCGATGGCCGGGACAGCAGCAGCGACGGCGGCAACTCGTCTGGCGACGACGACAACGACGACGAAGAGTTTGGCGACTTTGCCATGCCGGAAACCACCATGCCGGCGGAGGGCGCAGCAGCCAAGGACAGTAACGACGACGGCGACGAAAGCATCGGGACGACGACCGAGACCACCGCCGGTGAGAGTAACCGCGAGACGATGCTCTTTAAGCCCCTGGCCCTCCACCCTGGCCATCCTCCGTCTGGATCTGGATCTGGATCTGGATCTGGATCTGGATCCGGATCCGGATCCACTGGTAACAACAACAGCACAGCCTCGGCCGGTGGCAGCCTCTGGCGTCTGGGCTTTCTCGGGACCAACACTGCGACGAGCGGATCCACCGCCGCGTCGACCGACACCAGCACGATCGACACAAACAATGCCAAGGCCAAGGCGCCTGCTGCGTCCGCATCAAGGACAAATGACGACGAGCTCGAGGTGCTCGGCGATGACGGCCACCGTGTTGCGCGGGTCACCGAGGCGGCGCACCGCCGGAGCCTCGAGGACCCCGACGAAGACGAGGTGGTTGTATAAGATAGAAGGGTAGAGGGTAGAGGGGATGGGAAAGAGTTACAAGGTCTACGACTTGACATGTTTTGTGCGTTTTTGGTTGTGCGCCTCGTTTTCTGGTTGTGTCTCAAAGCCCGGCCGGACGAGGGACGGGGTGACGGGACGACGAACGTCTTTATGTATGAGTTGGTTATGTTTCATGTGACCATTCGGCCGCGGAGCTGTGTACGATACATTCCATGTTGTTTATTTGGGTGGATGTATTTCTGTTTCTTTTCTGAATTTTTGTATTTTTATATCATTATGTTTGTGACGTCTATTTTCCCACTTTGCGTAACGTGTCGTGAAATGACATGGTGTGTGCGTAGTATTTGGTATCGTGGATTGTGCAGCGAATGCTTAGCCACGGTAGACCCCCATACCAAGCGAGACGCCGATGATCGATGAGCAGGAAGTGAAAAGGGGTTGCGTATTGAGCATGTGGTTGGCTGAGGAAGCTGTTGAATCCTGCGCGTTCCTGTGTTTGTGATGTCCCGGTGTATTGGCTGTTTGTCATCATGAGCCGTATGAGCTGCAAAGAGAGGAACATACAAAGTCCATGTGCGATCCAAGTCCTCAGGAACAGACGAGGAGGACCAGAGTCTGGGGTTCATCGGCCGTCCACTGCCGATCGGATGCAACAATGACGGACACTAGGCCAGTCGGCTTGGCGTATGTCCTGTTTATCACTTTGCTTTTCTCTGGTTTATCACGCCCAGCGCTCGCCAACGGCAGGGCGTCTGGGCTCTCGCTCTAGGCTGGCGGCGCCGTACGGCACGGGTCCTCCACTTTCGCCCTCTCCGCAAAAACAACTGCCGTGTCTCCCATATCTCCACCATCCTTGTTAAAGTTGCGGGGGTGGGCCATCTCGACAACGCATACTCCGCACAGGGCCAGAGATGTCACGCGCTGCTGTAAGCCTTATTTTGTGTTGTGCTTGAGGTTTAGGTTTAGTATGTATTTTATTTTGTTTTTATTTTCGGCGTTGGCCGTGTTCTTCCTACAACGAAGCTCAAGGAAATAAAACAAAACACGATAATTTGTATCTTATGGCCACCATGCCTAACACGGAAATGCCTTGTCAATCACTCAAGAAGTCAGGAAAACCAGAGGCAGGTATTGGTCCGAAGATGGAAGGGATTGCCAAACAGGTATGCAGTCTCGTCAGAGGACAGGGTACCACTCCTGACTCCTGGACATGGAAGGATGCATCCATGTTCATGAGGGGTGCATTCTGTCCGTCGAGGACAAGCCGTGGAGCCGGACGGGATCCGTGCCGCGGTTGCTGGTCGGCCATATATGAATATATGTGAACCCTGGCTTCGGGAGCATGCAATGAGGATGAGGGCCAGGACTTAAATATATCCTCACATTAACATTTCTGAGTTTCGTCTCATTTCTCGTAATCTGCGAATCATCTCCCGAAACACCTCCATCCTCGACACCTACCAACGTCTCTTCCCCTCTCCCCCCTCACAAAACACAGCCATGGGGGCTGCTCTCGCCGAGACGTCCCTCTGGGCGAACCGCAAATGTCTCGTCATCTGCGCCGTGGTCGCCGTGGCCAACATGCAGTACGGCCTCGACTCGGCCATCGTGGCCAGTCTGCAGGCCATGCCGGGCTTCCTCAAGGTGTACGGCCACGCCGACCCGACGGCGGCGGGCGGCTACGCCATTGGCAGCGTGTTCCAGCAGCTCATCGGCTCGCTGCTGACCCTGGGAGCCTTCTTGTCGTCGCTCGTGGCCGGCGCGTTTGCCCACTTCTTTGGGCGCAAGCCGGCGCTGTGGCTCGCGTGCTTCCTGACGGCCCTGGGCTGCGCGATCCAGATCGCCACGGAGAGCAAGGGCGTCGTGTACCTGGGGCGCCTGGTGCTGGGCGTGGGCAACGGCTTCCTGGTGACCTTCTCCAACATCTACACGGCCGAGGCGGCGCCGGCGCACCTGCGCGCCGTCATGGTGGCGCTCTTCTCGGAGTGGGTCAACATCGGCAGCATCGTCGGCTCGGTGGTGACAAACGCGTGCAAGAACCGGCTCGACAAGCAGTCGTACCAGATCCCCATCGGCACCCTCTTTGTCGTGCCGGCCCTGCTGGCCGCGGGCCTCTGCTTCGTGCCCGAGTCGCCGCGCTATCTCATGTACAAGGGCCGGGCGACGGCGGCGCGCGCGGCGCTCGAGACGCTGCGCGGCGACGCGCTGCCGGCGGAGCAGCTGGAGCTCGAGTGGGTCGAGATGGCGCGCGGCATCGAGGCGGAGAAGCGCGTGGCGAGCTCGATCGGCCCCGTCGACATGTACCGCGGCACGGACCTGCGGCGCACGCTGCTGTGCTACGGCGTGATTGCGTCGCAGACGGGCGCGGGCTCGTGGTTTGTCATCTCGTACGCGACGTACTTTATGATTGTGTCCGGGCTCACCGTCGACGCCGCCTTCCAGTACTCGATTATGAACACGTGCCTCGGCCTCGTCGGCGTCAACGTCGGCATCTACGCCATGCGCCACGTCGCGGGCCGCCGCGGCATCCTGATGACGGGCGCCCTCGCGCAGGGCGGCTGCATGCTGGGCATGGCCGTGGCCGTCACGGTGGCGCCGGGCACCGTGGCCGCGCGCAACTGCCTGATTGCCTTTGTGGCCCTGTTTCTGTTCTCGTACAACGCCTTTGTCGGCGACGCCAGCTACCCGGTCTCGACGGAGCTGGTCAGCACGCGGCTGCGGTCCTGGACGGTCGGCTCGGCCATCAGCCTGGGCTACTTTCTGGCGTGGCTGACGGGCTTCTGCTCGCCGTACTTTATCAACCCGACCAACCTGAATTGGGTGCGTACATCAACGTGTGTCTTGCAACAGTATTGAGCATTATCATATTATCATTATCACTAACTCCCCCCCCAGGGCGCAAAATATGGCTACATCTGGGCCGGCTCCAACTTTTGCTGCTTCCTCTTCTTCTTCTTCTTCATCCCCGAGCTCAAGGGCCGCTCCCTCGAAGAGATTGACGAGCTGTTTGCCAAGCGCGTCGGCGCCTGGAAGTTCAAGTCGTACCAGACGACCCTCCTCGACGAGGCCCTGCAGCAGGTGCAGAAAGGCGAGGCAGAGGCAGAGGCCACGCGTGCCGATTCCGCAGCCAAGGAGGCACCCGCCACGGTGGAACGCGCGGCGTAGTCGGGGAAGTCATGCACGGTAGAGGTGACGAATGCGCGAGACAACACTCTGTTACGTGAGAAGAATGGCTCCATTATATTTGCATGCTGTATTTCAGCGACACTTGAGCCGTACAGCTAGCCTAATATCAATATACAGAGTGAATGCATGCCTTACTCCTGTGCTATGGTCAAGGTGGCCACCACGCCGCCGTCTCCCTTTGCCGCCTCGTCCTTCGTGTCCTCGGCATCAAAATAGGGCCGCTCGGCCTGGGGCGTGATGCGCAGCATGTGGCGGCGCGTGACGCCTTCCTGGACGGCAAAATCGCGAAGAGCGGAGCTGCGAGGGGTGTCACGTTAGTACAACGCACAAAAGCCAGTGTCCTTCTCCCGGGAACGTACTGCTGCGTGTTGCGGTTGTCGTAGACGATGACGGTGCCGGGCGTCCAGTGCACGCGCATGTGCCAGTCCTGGCCGTGCTCGATGTGGTTGTACAGAAAGGCGAGGACCGCGGCGCTCTCCTCCGCCTTGAGGCCGTGGATGCGCCGCGTGTACAGGCGGTTGACGTACAGCGAGCGGGCGCCGGTGACCGGGTGGGTGCGCACGACGGGGTGCAGCGTCTCGATGGGCTCGCGGATGTAGCGGTCGCGGTGCTCGTGGACGGCGGCCTGCGAGGCGCCCGAGTGCACGGCGTACTTGCCGTGCAAGAAGGCGCGGAACGCCGGCGAGAGCGCGTTGTAGGCGGCCGTCGTCGACAGGTACAGCGTGTCGCCGCCCGAGGCGGGCGTGTCGAGCGCCAGGAACGTCGTGGTGCCGACGCCGTTGACCTCGTAGCTCATGTCCGAGTGCCACTTGATGCTGCTGGTGTTGTTGGCGATCTCGGGGTCGACGGCGCCGGCCACAAAGTCGCGGTACACCGGCAGCAGCGCCGGGTAGTCCTTGATGTGGCCGCCCATCTGGTGCACGTGCAGCCGGCCAAAGTGCTGCCCGTACGCGACCTGGCGCTCCGGCCCAATGTCGGCAAAGTCCTGCTCGTGGAACACGACCACGCCGCGCTCCGCCGCGAGCAGCGCCACCTCGTCGAGCTGCGCCAGCGTCAGCGCACTGAGCTGCAGCGGCTTGCCGTCACGCCCGCCGCGCACGTCGGTGCCGATGGCCGGCGTGATCTCGGCAAACGTGGCGCCGCTGTCGACGAGCAGCGCCTTCTTGGCCGGGTCGGCGCGCAGGCCGACGTCGTGGTGCACAAACTCTTGGAGCGCGGGCTCCTTGACGAGCGTATAGTGCGGCAGGTAGGCGGCGTATTTGTACTATCTCGTTAGACGATGTGGTTCTAGACGTGCGTGGCCGTAGACAAGGCCCACCATACTTGTCCCTCTTTGTATTCGACAGACGTCTCGGCGGCCGCCTGAACGGGCGGTGTCTCGGTGGCTGGCGGAGCCGAAATGGTCTCTGTGGCGGACATGATGACGCGTTGGCTTTTGGTCTTGGCGTGACTGTTTGACGAGGCTGGAGAGATGTTCAATGTTCAATATTTTGTGCTCACGGGAGACGGTTCACAACGACGGTTGCTGCAGCAAAGTGGAATGATGTGACCCATGTGCGCGACTCTGCACCGCGCCGTGCATTTATCTACATCACGCCGTCGTTGGTTCTGCGGAGGATTCCTAGCACAGAGTCTATTGCGGCCACGGAATGTCCGGTCATCGGTGCCCACTCCGGCACACGCTTTCCGGTCAGTTGCACCAGCCTGGCCATGCTCACCCCGCACGCTTTACCGCGATGACGAGCTCTGGCCGGTGGTTGACGACAGAGAAGCAATGGTCCGGGGCCGCGTAAACATGGCTCGATAAGCGATGAAGAAACGAGGTATGTCGGAGGGTGCCTCGAAAACTACTTCTTTGGGAAATGTAGTCAACGACCGTCGTTGACTGCTGTAAAGGAGGGATGCCTGTACCTCTCAGGCGCGTCCTGATGTTGACAATCACGAGATCGGCGGCCAAAGTGACGGCAGATGGCAGCCTTGCGTGCTGCGGCGATCCACCACTCAGGATGCAGCAAATGGCAAACGGCGCCAACGTGCACTCTAGCGTTTGACAAGGTAGGATTGACAGGGCCGAGTTGGTCGTGTAAGTCAGCATGTGGTTTACTATTGTCGATGCAGTCCATAAACCTGTCTCGCGTTGAGTCTCTTATCCCTTTATTTTATTCCCGTCTCTTTGCCAGTCTTCTTGTGAAGCATCGCGCATCGCGTATCCGACGCCAATATGGCGAATCGCCCAGCATGCGTAGCATGGGGATGAAAATACCCATGTCTGTCCCACGTCTGTCCATGTTGTCGTATCTGTTCTGTTGCTGTCTGCCACGTTTTATACGCGCGGATTCACGCCTCCTGCCAAGCCCGTTATACTGTCACGGCAGTTGCCGTATGCACATCACTGACACCTGGGACTTGGGTCGACCTGCGGCCATCACCTCCCGAAACAATTGCCCTATTCGGACAGGAATAGTGGACTGCATGCTCCTCGTCTGCCGACTATCCCTTGACAGTCTCTCTGACAGTCCGGTCAACGACCTATGAAATACTCCCATGCAACGATGACGCGCTTGCCCGCATATAACGAGTGAACAGGGCGGAATGACGACACTGCTAGACAGCCGAGTCGACTGCCGGTGCGCAATGACAAACGTGCGTCATGACATGGATCGCGGTGAACGTGCGTGTCCATTGTGTCTCGTTCGCAGGTTATATAGTCACCGCGAAGGCGGAGACACGCGCATGCCGTCCGTCTCGGTGGTCGAGACGTCGCACAACTGCCAGCCATGGCCGCCTCACCGAGCAACTCCGTCGTGGACGACACCGACACGTCGCCCAGCCCGTCCAAATCGTCGGCCACCAGCCATGCCGTCACCGAAGTCGACTCGGACAGCGCCCTCAGCCCTGTCTCTGCGGACCACCCGGCGCCACCGCCCAAGTCCACCTGGTGGCGATGGCTCGTTGGCCTCGTCTGGGACTCGGTCGAGGGCGATGCACGCAACCGCCGCTATGTCCAGAAGCTGGATCTCTTTTTGTTGTACGTTTGTTTCCAGGAACGGCGATGACATGATGGCATATATATATAAGCGCACGCTGACTCCCCAGCACCTACATTTGCTTCGGCTACTTCATCAAGTACCTCGACCAGCAAAACTACAGCAACGCCTTTGTTAGCGGCATGCAGGCGGACCTCCAGCTCTACGGCAACGAGCGCAACTGGATCGTCACCTGGTTCAGCGTGGGCATCATGGTCGGCACCATCCCGTCGCAGATGATCCAGCTCGAGTACGTGCGGCCCTCCATCTGGATCCCCGCCTGCGAGATCGCCTGGTCCGTGCTCGTCATGGCCATGGCCGCCGTCAAGGACGTCCGCCAGCTGTACGTCCTGCGCTTCTTCGTCGGCCTGTTCGAGGCCTGCTCGTTCCCCGGCTACGCCGCCCTGCTCGGCGGCTGGTACGGACCCCGCGAGCTGACCAAGCGCGTGGCCATCTTTGAGCAGTGCAGCGCCATCGCCAGCATGTTCAGCGGCTACATCCAGGCCGGCCTGTACACGAGCATGAACGGCGTGCACGGCCTGGCCGGCTGGCGCTGGCTGTTTGTCATGGACGGCGTCATCTCCATCCCCATTGCCGTCTGGGGCTTCTTTGCCATCCCCGACCTGCCGCACACCACGCGCGCCTTCTACTGGACCGCGGACGACCGGGCCTACGGCGTGCAGCGCATCGAGCGCATCGGCCGCGGGGCGCCGCAGCGCCTGACGTGGTCCGGCGTCCGCCGCGTCTACGCCGACTGGCGCCTCTGGGTCTTCTTGCTCGCCTACACGTTTGTCGCCATGGCCGGCCAGGGCACCAACTACTTCAACCTGTGGCTCAAGGCCGTCGGCTACTCGGTCGTCCAGGTCAACGTGCTGCCCACCGCCGGCAACGCCGTCAGCATCGTGGCCGCCTTTGTCTTTGGCATCGTGGCCGACCGCACCGGCCGCCGCCGCGAGGCCCTGCTCGTCGTCCTCCTGGTCCTCTTCGTCTCCAACCTGCTGCTCTCCATCTGGCACATCCCCCACGGCGCCATCATGGCCGCCAACTACCTGGCGTACATTGGCTCCGCCGCCCAGCCCATTGTCATCGGCTGGGGCAACGAGCTCAACGGCCACGACTCCAACCTGCGCCAGCTGCTCGTCGCCACCGGCAACATCTTCACCTACGCGCTGCAGATTTTCATCCCCGTCGTCCTCTTCCCCACCCAGCACGCGCCGCACTACAAGTACGGCTACCAGATCCTGATCCTGTTTGGGGGCCTCGGCACCATTGGCACGTTTCTCTTGCAGTGGCAGCAGGACCGGCAGAGACGCCAAGGGACGGTGGAGCAGGATGCCGTCGTTGTAGAGGCAGAGGCATAGTGGCTGTGCGTGCTGAAATGCAGTATTCAGAATAAGCAAACAACAATAAAAGCCCTCTCTGACTATCATATACTTCGAACTAGCCTTGGACAACTTTTTGATCTTTACGGTTGTGCTTGCAACCCATATTCTGATGTATGACATATACTCAACAGGGTGGCTCTATACTGCAGTGCGTTCAGGGCGCCATAAGTAGTGGACGACAGAGTTTTGTTGCCATTGCTAGGAGGTCCAACTACAAGAAGTGGAGACGCAAGACTCCACGCATTTTTGCCTGCTTTCTGCCAGTTTCGTTCATGCCACAATATCTGCGTGTTATTTCTTTCTCCTCGTCCCGATGGCAACGTCTAAAATGTCCTGCAGAAAGACACTTGCTCGTGGTGTGTTGCTGGACGCCCACCCTGCTCACCTCTATTGTATCCGCAACAACTATCCCGCAGAGTGCTCTATATGCCGTTGATTTAACGTCCCTGGAATGTCTCGGCAAGGGTTCGGTATTCTTGCTGCGCAACCCCCACCGCGACGAAGGTCTTTTGAGTGCTCTGTTGCTTGGAAGCTCTTGTCCGATGACAGCCATATTGCAGCCAAGATCACAACCGTGGCCCCCGCGTTTCGCGTTTCGCCTCCTATCAAGCACTCAATCAAAAGCACTCTGTTCCCGTCGGGCATTTGTTCTCCATTTTCTCTCCGAGAGGGGGCAAACGCCAACAGCAACAGATATGGAATATGGGAGGGCGGCAATGCACATGGACGGGTGCTTTGGTTGTGCCGGCGTGATGTGGAACGGAGGCTGTCCATCACCCGTCATTTTGCCGAGATCGGAAAGGGACGATCACCGGAAGAACATCCGGATGAACATCCGGTCAAGGCGTGTTCCGCTTTTGCACGATGCAAGATAATATAGCAAGCAAGAGGCACCTGCACGCCTTCATTGCATCTGTTCTTCAGCCGACCGTGCCGATCGATCCGAGATGGACGCTGCACAGTTTCTTATCTACGTCTTGGCGCAATTGGATGCTGTGATGTCGTCAGACGTTGTCCCATGCGACTGTTGTCTATCAAAGGCGAGCGAGTGCACAGCATAGCCTCCGATACTTGTCTTCAAAACTACAATATCGAATCTGATGCGTGTTGAGCAAACCAAGCAAATCCCCGCATCATACTGTATCACAGACCCTACATTGAGCCTCTTAAGGACGGTGATGTGTCTTGGCCGTGGTATGGAACGGCATCTTAATTCCTGTGATAAATCCAACGTTGCACTGCAAATATCTGCCCGAGCGCTGGTGTGTTGTTTCAGAATTTAAAAAATCTAAAAACGTACGTAAATGTGCGGCATTGCTCAGCATTATGCCGTGTCATCAATAACGTTTGAGGACATGGGGGTGACCCTGGGCAGATACGTGCGCTCAGCACTGCAACTGCGTGAGGCTCCCTGTCAGCGGCTTGAAGTGGTCAGGCACCGTAATGGTTACGAGGACCAAGTATTTTTTTTTCCTCTTCTTAAAGCCATCTACCAATACACAATTCAAACAGGGAATTCCACAGTTCCACGTCCAGGCAGTTCGGATAAATGTGCGCGGCCCTTTTGCCCTTTTATCGTATTTTGCCCTGCCTGCTATGCTTCTTACTCTGCTGATATTTTTCATACCGCGGCTCTACAGTTCGACTGCTGGCAACACGGCTCAAATTGGACGTGCAGCCGTTCTATTTTGGACTGCCTGCTGTCCCGTGCCGTTTTGACCTCCCACGCCCACCCACAGTCGCCTTTATCCCGATGCATCTGCCTTGCGCCATGCCGAGACCTTCGAGAATCATTCTCCGTCCTCTCTGACCCCCTATCATTCGCTCTCCATTCCGTGTCTTATCGATAATGTGGCATAATTCCACTGTCCCTGTGTCCTCCCTGTATCTGCTGTCGCCGAATCTGTCCTCTTTTTATGTCGTTGCCCAACAGATTTACATTTACTGACGCCGCAACAAGACGGCCGCAACGACCACGATAAAGCCAGATTATCAAAACAGACGTCACTCCACACCACGCGCGCGTGTAGATGTACTTCTATTGACCACTGTCCCTTTGGTAAGCCACCCTTGTCACCGTGTATCGCCGTGTGATTCTGCCAGGACTTGTCCTCAACAAAAATCTGGCGGAACGGATGGGAGTCGGCATCGGGGCCCTTTCACTCTACCCACAGGCCCAGTGCGGGACAGTCTAGATTGCGCTGCAATTTTGTGCCATTCCTGTCGAGCTTGTCTGGATGTTTCTGTTCTCCTCCTGTCGTGCCAGTCTTCTATTCCCTGTTTGTTGTCTGTGTTCCTCCTCTTCATCTACCCACATCTCGTGCACATTGTGTTGATGCTATATTCCATATCAGAGCTTTCACTCTACATTCTACATTGTATATCGATTCTCCATTATCCACTTTCCATCTATCCTCCTCCACTTCCCGCCGGTGTATCTCGGAGACAAAGTCTACCGCGGTCCCGTCAGCATATATCCGTCCTCCTCGCTGATGCGCCCATGAAACAAATCTAAAAGCAAACCACTGCCCACGACATCCCACGGTCATTGCATCCTTATCAATACCATTGCTCGGCGTTTCACAAGACGTCCTTTGTCAGTTGCCTTCTGACACAAGTAGAGCCGCGTTTAGGGTGCGAAATTCACAGCTACCACCGCCCGCTGCTCGGAAACCGAATCCTCGACCACGATCCACGACCGCCAACTACGATCTGTCACGTCCTCCCGAACTCGTCGTCCCGATCGTCTCCCACACTCCCACACACCCACCATGGCCATCGTCTCCCGCGCCGCGCCGGGCGAGCCCTTGGCCACGGCGTCCGCGACCAAGGACAAACCGCTCACGTGCGCGCCGCCGCCGCTGGCCAAGAAGATTGAGTTTGCCATCCACATGTACTCGCTGCAGGCCGTGCTGTCGGTGCCGCTGTGGGTGCGCGGCTGGCGCGAGTACTTTTACCCGCCGACGGGCGGGCCGGACATTGTCAAGGCCTACGAGTGCCGCCCGGCGCTGCCGACGCGCATCTTCTTCCCGGCCGACTACGACCAGGGCAAGACGCACACGCCGCTGCCGACGGTCCTGACGGTCCACGGCGGCGGCTTCTGCATCGGCGTCAACCGCGACGACGACGAGTACAACCGGGCGCTGGCCGACACGCAAAAGGTGCTCGTCATCAGCCTCAACTACAGCAAGTCGCCCGCCGTGCCCTTTCCGACGGCGCTGCACGACCTGGAGGCGCTGTACCACGCCGTCGTCGCGGACGAGTCGCTGCCGCTGGCGCGGGCCGGCGGGCCGCCACACGCACACGCACACGCCCCGAGCAAGAGCAAAATCGCCGTCCTGGGCTTCTCCGCGGGCGGCAACCTGGCCCTGGCGCTGCCGCAGCTGCCCAGCATCCGCGCGTCGCCCAACGCGCCGTCGGCCGCCGTCAGCGTCTACGGCTGCCTCGACCTGTCGCGCGACCCGGCCGCCAAGCTGCGCAACCGCTTCTACAAGCCGGCCCTGCCGCTGCCGCAGGGCAGCCGCATCGACTCGCTGGCGTCGCTGGCGCCCGTCTTCGACTGGAGCTACATCCCCTACGGCCACGACCTCACGGACCCGCTGCTGAGCCCCGCCTATGCGGCGCTCGGCGACCTGCCGCCGCACGTCTTTCTCGTGGCCGCCGAGCTCGACATGCTGGCCCACGAGAGCTGGCGGCTGGCGTGCCGGCTGGGCAACGAGGCGCGCCGGCTGCAGCAGAAGCCGACGGCGGGGGACCGCGAGGTGCCGGACCCGGACAGCAAGGTGGACCGGGTCAAGTGCGTGGGCAAGCGGGCGAGCAGCAAGCGCAAGGGGGCGCTGGAGCCGGCGGACGGCGGCGACGACCGCTACGGGTGGGCCGAGACGTGGGCGGGCGGCAGCGTCAACTGGCTGCTGGTGCCGGACGCGATCCACGGCTTCGACAACTTCAACATCCGGCAGGTCATGGGCGGCGAGGAGTCGATGCTGGACGCGGAGATGAAGACCAAGGCGTACGTGGAGCGCATCGGCGCGTGGCTGCACAATGTCGTGTGGAAGTGAGGGAGCTGTGTATGTCGTCGGTAGATTATTGTGTTTTGTCCTTTTGTCTTTTCGTTGGCTCTCTTATTTCTCACTCATCTTCGTTGGATAGAATGCAATGTATTTCGCTGGTCTCTGGTATAAACTAATTGTCACCATTCCTTTCTCGTCTGCATCTACTGCGCCATGGACAACAACTTTGTCCAGTCGTCCTCCCGGTCCACGCGGATCTCCAAAGGCCCCTTTTTCGTCTCCGCGTAAAGGCGCACGCCCTTGAAGTAGGCCAGCACGCCGCCGCGCCCGTCTCCGCGCGTGGTCAGGCGATAGAGCGGACGGCCCTCGGCGTGCACCTTTTTGCGCTCGGGGATGAACTGCACGTCGTTGGACTCGCACCATTCCTCGACGTAGTGGCGGATGGACATTTCTTCGTTTTCGGGGGCGGCCGGTGTCGATGTCGGCATCTCCTTGCCGTCGTGTCGGTGGTGGCCATGGTGGTGCCGACTGTGGTGCCCGTTGTGGCGGGACGCTGACAACGACGACGACGCCTTGAGGGCCGGCCCCTTGCTGGGTGGCGCCAGGAACTGGCGAACACGGTCGGCATCGTAGACACCCGTCGTCGCATCCACGACGCCAATGTCCAGTGCCTCGTTGATCATGCCCAGCCCGCGCTCAAACTCGGCCGCCACCGACGGCAGCCGCTGGATCGACGCCGGGAACACGTCGTCGGCCCACCACTGGAACCACTGCCCGATGCGGTCCAGCGACTCGTCCGCGGCCGTCAGCAGGTGGTACAGGGCCTCGTGCCACATGGGAAACACGTCGGCCACCATGACCTCGCCGACCATCTCGGGCGCCAGCAGCGCCAGCCACTGGAACTCGCCCGTAATCACCTCCAGGTAGCCGGCCTGGTCGCGCGGGTCGACGCGGAACTGGGCGCGGACGTAGCGCGCCATGCTCGGCAGGACGTGGGACATGACGAGCGGACGCCACTGGTCGCGCGCGGACGAGGCGGACGAGCTGGCACCACCGGCACCACTGCCACCACTGCCACCACTTCCGCTGGGCCGCAAAACGGCCTTCCATTGCCGCAGACCCGGCACTACGCCCCGGTAAAATTCCCAGACGTCAATGAGCTGCCGGAACTTGCGCTTGACCTGGACCACGAGGCCGTTGGCGGCGGACGGGTCGACGTGGCGCGCCGGCAGGTACGGCAGCCAGGGGAAGAGCCAGAGGTGCGGCAGGTTCTGCGTCGTTTGCGCGCTGTGCCGGCGCCGCTTGGGCTCCCACTTGGCCACCGCCTCGTCGAGGCGGCGCACAATGTCCTGCTCGAGCAGGTGCGCGCGCACAAAGCCGGGCAGCACGGGCAGCCAGGCCTCGTAGAGGGCGAGCACGCTGTCGGCGTCGTGCACGGCGTCCCAGGTGCGCACGGCCGCCGACACGTGCGGCAGCCACAGCGTGTACATCATGGCTTCGTAGGGGGTGGCCGTGGCCGCCTTGTGCTTGCGGAGGACAAAGGGATCGAGGCGGCGGTCCCTGGCCGGTTCGTCGGCCTCGAGCAGCGTACGCGCCGCTGCTGCGTCCGGACCAAAGCCGAGCAAGCCCTGGATCGACAGCAGCCCGTCCACCAGGTGCTGGTTGGGATCCTGGAGCGGCGCCCAGGCCTCGATGGCCTGCTTGAACAGCGGGTGGAGGGCCGCCACGCAAATGTCGGCCAGCGCGTCTCTCATTTCGCTCATGGACGCCGGCGGGATGGTCTCGGCAGCGGCCTGCAGCTGCGCAATCGTGCGGTCCCATGTCGGTCGCCATGTGTTGTTTGTCTCTGTTTTATCGGTTGTATTGGTTGTATCGACTGTGTCACCGTCGCCATTACGGCCGGCCGTGGTACTGTTGTCCGCTGGTTGTACCGACAGCTTGGAAAAGGCACTCGTCATGGCCGTGTGCGCCTGCAGGTTGACCTCGAGCTCGGCCAATTCCTGCCGCGCCTGCTGTGCCTGCAGCTCGGCAAACGCCTTGCGGTTCTGCAGGCTCTGCCACTCCTCGAGAATCGCCATGAAATCGCTCTGTGCGCGTCGTGCCAGTTTCCGCGCCTCAGCCTGCTCGGCCGTTTCTGCGCCTGTAGCCGGTGTGCCACCGACAAACGGAGACGCTGTGGACGCTGTGCCTGCCGCCGTTCCGCTGGTCGGGGTCATGAGCCCCGACGACGATGTCAACAGTCGCTTGCCTGGTCCCGTCATGTCGAGAATGGGTGTAAACGCTTCGGGAATGTGCAGACCGGGCGCGGCCCTCCTGGCCTCGTCCATGGTCATGTACTTTTTCTTGGCGCGCCGCGGCGTGCTGGTGCCGCTGTTCGTGCCGCCGCTGCCGCTGCCGCTGCCGCCACTCGCCAAGGCCTTCTTCCGGCGCGCGGCCGCGGCCGCCTTGACCTTTTTCTCCTCCTCGTCCGAGTCGACGACGGCCTCGCCCCGCAGACGCGCCTGCCGCTTCTCTTCCTGGCGCTCCTTTTCGGATTTCTCGCGCACCGCGCCCAGGCCGACGCCCTGTGGCCGCAGGTTGGCCTCGATGATAATGTTGCGGCCCTGGCCCTCGCTGCCGAGACCGCGCCCCTCGACAAACCCCATCTTGGCCATCATGCGGGCGCCAAACGATTTGGCGTTGAAGCTGCTGCCGCCACGGGCGCCGCCACGGGCGCCACCGCGTGTCGGTTTGGAAGAGAATGCGCTCGGTCGTGCCACCAGGGGCGGTTCTTTGGTTGACTGGCCTTGGGGGCGGAGAACGGGGTCGTACGCGGAGGACGGGACGAAGCCCTGGCCGAGCGGGTTTTGCGTGTCGATGGCGGCATCGTCGTGGGACGCCGAGCTGGCCGACTGGAAGGACGGCGGTGGTCGTCGTTGGTTGCTGTGGCTGTTTCGGCCTCCGTTTCGACTGCTCTGGAAAGAGGCCGGCACGAAGCCAAGGCCGGTGCCGCTCGCTGGTTTGGATGCGTTGTCGGAGGCACCCAGCCCAAGCCCGCCGCGGACGCTGCCAAAGCCTAGGCCGATGCCCGGCGTCTCGTCATCGTAGTCGTCTTCCTCGCCGTCTTGCTTCGTGTAGTCTTCGCCGTCTTGCACACCGGCCGCGCGCTGCGCGGCGCTGCTCAGCCCAAACCGGCCGTCCTCTTCACTTTCGTCGTTGTCGCCATGATCGCCGTCCTTGTCATCCTCTTCGTCCTCTTCATCTTCGTCATCCTCATCCTCGCTTGCCTTCTTCGCGCCCGACGACACAAAGCTCATGCCCTGCTTCCGCAGCGGCTGCCGTTGCTTCCATCGCCGCTGCGTGTGGTCGTCCTCGCTGTCGCTGCCGAAGATGCCCAGCGCCGCGCTCTCCTTGGCGTCGCGCCCCGTCCGTCGCCGCTTCCGCGGGTTGAAGTCGCCAAACTCGCCGTCGCCCGGGTTCGTCGACGGCATGCGGTATGTGTTGCCGTCGTCGTCCGACCCCGAATCCGAGGACGAGTAGGCGTCCGCGCCGGCCGCGCCCTTGGCCACGTTGCCGGCGGCGGCCGCACCAAACGAAAAGTCCATGTCGACTGCCTGTCGGGAGCGGCGTAGATGCAGACAGACAGGAGTGTCAGTGTTGGACGAGTGTCGGTGGACGATAGAATCGTCGTGTCAATGTCTTGTGTGGCAACTTTGTCGTGTCGGTTGCCTGCTGTCGCGACCCAAAAGGGCCCTGCGCCAGTCATTTTTTAGCGGTTGCCAGCGTTATCTTATCGCTCCACATATTCTTATGTCAGCATTCATTTTATGGTGTACGAACGTACATGATAACCACACAGTATTCATGTTTGTACTGCAGTTTGCGAAACGATGATGCAGGTCAGAATCAAATTGCTAGTTCGACAATAAATAATACATCACTCCGTCGGCTCATTGACATCGACGCCCTTCGCCGGCGGCCAGAATGACAAATGGCAGTGCTCGTCTTATGGGATCCCAGCTCGGGCATTTCGGGCAGCTTTGGAGCCTAACTTAGGTGCTGCATAGCGCTGCATGGCGCTGCAAGGTGCTGCAAGGTGCTGCAGCGAGGCGCAGCCGCACGCTAACGCCACGGCAGTGGGGTTTCTGCCAAGTCAGCCGCCAGCCTGCTGCGATATTCCACAGCCTTGCCTGTCGCCCACGATTTCCTGTCTGCTTCTGCTTCTTCCGTCTTTCCAACACAACAAACCACCACAGCAAATCCACAATGGCCTCCACATCCGACGACGCCACGTCGCCAGAGACGGCGTACAACGACCTCAAGCGGCTGACGCCCTCGCTGGCGGCCGAACTCGACCACCTGCGCGCGTCGCTGCGCGAACACAATCTGTGGCTGCAGCGCTACGGCCAGGGCCAAGGCCAGAGCGACGACGAGGCCCTGGCGGCCGTTCCGGCTGGACTGCCGACCCTGACGACGTCGAGGCCGGCTGAGCCGGCATCCGAGACAGCGGCGCCGCAGACGACGCCGGCACGCGACCGCACCACCTCGCCACCACCCGCCTTTACCCCAACACCGCCCGCTTCCACGTTGACCCCAACATCAGCATCAACATCAACATCTGCATCAACTCCGTCCTCCACCCAAGCGGCACATCAGCCCCCCTCGACATCCCAGCCACAGCCGTCTCCGACTGCCCCAGCGACACCTGCGTCGCCCGACATCCCGTCCTACTCGTCCGCCGTCGACAACACGCTGCCGCCCTACGCCGCCTCCGAAGTGCCCCTCTACAGCAGCGCCGTCCGCGACGACGTCCTGCAGCGCCGCGACCAGCTGATGGAGTACCTGCGCGAGGGCGAGGAGGTGCTGCGGGACTACTCGGCGCGGCTGGCCGACCTGGCGCGCGAGCTGGGGCGGCCGGCCGAAGACGCGGACGCGCTGGGCACGTGGAACGAGGCGGCGCCGGACAACGCGCTGCCGTCGTACACAATGATTGAGGGGCGCGAAGAGCTGATGGTGGGCGGCGTCGGGGAGGTGCCGCCGACGTATGCACGAGGGTCAGCGGTGGAGGCCGCTGGGCGGGGATAGGTGCGAGGCGAGGGCGAGGGCGAGGGCGAGGTGAAGGCGTTGTGGCGCTGTCTACGTCTACAGTACGTCTATAGTATGAGGTCACGCCTTGCATGAATACTTGTGTACATCGATCAAGTCCATGGTGCACCGTTGTTTACTTTTGTACAAGGTTTGGTCAAATGCCATTCGTCTCTAATAGGACTAGGCTACGTCAGAGCTTCTTCTGATCTCCAAGGTAAAAGGTCAATAAAGTACAAAGGGAACTCGAATTCAAGTGTCAGGGCACAAAACTCAGACAACTTCAATAAACAAGCAAAGCAAACATGAAAAAAGAAGAGGTTCGGACCAGTAGCACCTATATGAATCAGAATCAGAATCCGGACTGTGCTTGAAAGAACAACAACCCACGAAACATAAGTAGAACCACATACCACCAACTAATCCATGGCGTCCACCCCCTGAAGATGCAAACAACAGGCGGCACCGCTCAAGGCATGGTGGGCGTCAGACCCGTCACGCGCTGGATGTCCTCCAGCACCCACTCGATGGGTGTGGTGAGCGTGATGTCCACCACGCCGACTTTGCGGCCCTCTGCCTTGTCCTCGTCAACGGCAGACCAGTCGGGCACCGGCTCGGGGACAGGTGATTGCGGCGGCAAGGCCGGGTCGGTAGGCAGCGGCGCCGGCGCTGCTCCGCTCGGCACGCCAGGGTGCATGCAGAAGAGACGGCGCGCCTCGTCTGCACCAACACCGGCGTCGAGCATGCCGACGATGGCGCCCGCTGCGTCAAAGACGCACGCGCCCGAGTCGCCCCCGTGGCTGAACGGCTCTGGGTACGTTTTCTTGACGCGCAGGTCCCGCTCACAGACAAGCCCCAACACCGGCCAGGACCACGACACGACGTCGTTCTCGCCGGGCACGGGCGTGCGTAGGACGGCTTCCACCGGGCTCAAGAAGCCCATCGACACGCCTGTACCAGCACCACGCTTATAGACATAACGGGTGGGGACCCGTCTGCTGTCGGACTGTTTCAGGCCCTGGTCCTGGCTGTCATCGCCCTGTTGCGCGCCGGGCGTGGTGATGTCCTGATCGGCGTCCTTGTCTTTCTCATGCGCGGCGGCCCGTGGCAACGACAAACCGACGAATCCCGCTCGGTCACATTTCGCCGCCAAGGCGAAACGCTCAGACTGGGCAATCTTTAGCCTCCTGGCATCCAGCTCGATGCGAGCAAAAAAACGACCAAAGTAGGCGTTGTTGGTGTAAAAGGGCGGTGCCAGGACAGCAGGACCCTCGATATCCGCACCGCTCGGACTGGGGCCCGGCAGCGGCCCGGTGTGGTCGAGCTTGATCAGAGCCCAATCGTTCCAGCCGCTCTGGTGGTTGTGGCCATGGGCGCCAGAGAACTTGACGTGTCCGAGCAACCGGCTGCAGGCAGCGTCGCTGTTGCTGTTGTCCCCTTCCCGGTCTTCCGAATGGCTTAAGTCGAGATTGCCGGTGCTTGCCGCGGACTGCAGCGCATCCATCGCCGATGGGACGTAGTCACGCACGCAGGCCTCGCCGAGTTGCAGCTGCGCAAAGGCCAACTCGTCGCTATCGTGGGAGGCCACGTGCTTGCGAACAAAGTGGAGCCGCCCATGCAGCTCGCTCGCAGTCTCTTCCAGGAGGCGGCGGCTCTCAGCGATCTCGTCGCTGCGTCCCCATGAAACAGGGAGAGCGGGACATTCTGTCGGAAGGCCTCCTTCTGTCACTATGCCGGTGTTCGGAGGCGCTAGATAGTCTTGGCCGTGCGCAAACCTGTCGCCAATCACAACGTGGCGGGAGGCAAGGCCGTACAGGCCACCATGCAGCGAGCCGTCTGCGGCCGTCAGGCGCAAGTAACAGGACAAGGTCCCGGAGAGGCCTTGACTCTTGTTGTCGGGTACCACCTGCTGGATGCGCTGGCCAGGGTATGGGAGAAATCGCACAATCGGGTCATTGGCTGCCTGCATGACAGGAGCAAGATGGTGCATGTATACAGCACCGGGGCCCGTCTCGCCATAACGGCCATCAAACACATCGAACAGCGGTGGCAGGCCGCTCTTCTTTGGTTCGGGAGAAGATGACGAGGAGGAGGACGTCGACGACGACGAAGATGAGGAGGGCGAAAGAGGGACGGAGCACCACGGTCCTGCATCCGGCTCGTGGGGAGCGGCACCGGCACCAGCACTGGCATCGGCATCAGCGAGCGAGATAAGACCGAGCTCGGCCACATACACGTGCACGTGGGCGCCAATGTGTTCGGCGACGACGGCACGGCAATCGGTCGCGGCGGCAAGGCCGTTCTGCCAGGTACACGTTCCGCGGCGCACGCCAACGAGCAGCGAGGGCACCTTGTCGGCGGCCTGGGCTTCCAAAGCAGCCCACTTGGCGGGCTCCTTGCTCTCGTCATGCCACGCGGGGCGGATCACTGCCGCGCCAAGAACCACGGGCAGCAGGATCGTCCAGTCTGCGCCGTGCTTGGCCAGCGTCGTCCGGAGCGCGTCTGTGACGGCGGTCTTGGCCGTGTTCCACCGGTTGACAAAGTCCCGGTCGGACACCACCTCCATCTCGCGATACAGAGGCGCGATCCATGGTCTCTCGGCTACGTCTGTTCTGGCAACCAGACGCGGCCGGCTCGGCAACCCATAGAAGAAGGTGGCACGCTCCTCTTCGGATGGCGGCTCGGCGGCTGGCGGCTCCGGGTCGTTGGCTTCGGAGCGGTCGGATGCCATGGAGCGAGGCGGCACACTGTGGTTGGGAGGGACAAGGGACAGAGCGGCTTGGGGTCTCTAGCCCCTGGCGTTCTGCGGCTCGTCCGTGCGCTCTTCAGAGTCTGGTTTCTCGTTTTCGTGGCGTTTCGCCGGAGAGCTTGGCCCGCTTATGGAGCGCCTTTTCTTCTTGGTCGGGTCGTTATCTTGCATCGTGCTACGTCTAACGGGCAGCACGGTGGTCGGGAAAGGCGGTGGCGTGATCAAGAAGAAAGGACGACGTCAATGGTGATGAAAAAGTGACGATGCACCAGCTTCGAAAAAAAGTAAAAATGGGGGAGAAGTGGTCGTATTGTGTACAATGGAAGGGCAGGTGCGGGACAAAGTGACACGCAGTTGCAGCCGTTTATATAGGGACCGGTGACTCACGTTTGTTGATGGCTGCGTAGTCATGAATCAAAGTTCACAGTCGCGTCTTGTGCTACCAGGCGAAGTGAATGTTTTGTGTCTGTTGGGGTCGAAGACATTCACCGCCTGACATTTTGGCGGCAGTATCGCCTCACCGCCTTATCTCTGTAGCGGGGCTAAAATTCAGTTTGACGTCATCCTGTTTTGGGTAGAAACAAACGCGTCCGTGAATCACAACTTGGGTAGCACGTCGTTTACGATATGTGTGTATAATTCATATTGAGTGTTATATATAATTGAAAGAGTGTGAATTTTTTAATTTTTTATTCTCAACGAGAACAGTTCATATGGATCTAAATACTAATATTACTGTTGTAAACAATAAATAACAAAAATAACAACAGCAATTATATTGTCGGACAATGAAAACAAACTACAGAGATGAAAATAAAAATAAAGTTTTCGTCTTAGAACATGCATTTTAAATAATTTGTGAATGAAAATTCGTATTCTTAAATATGGACATAGCAATAAACAGGTACACGCAAAACCATGGTCCGCTACTTCTTACATGCAATCGTCTCGCTAGAAAATCGTACAGTACAATGACAATCCCGTTTCGCTTTTTGTTTGGCAACAATCCCCCCCCACTTCCCCCCTCTCTACTCTCCACGCGACCGCCGGTTAAACTCCTCCACGGCCACGGCCACCATCCGGTACAAAAACGCCCGGCCGCTTTCCTCGGCCATCGGGATAAACGGCCCGTTCATGTTGCCGCGCAGCGTGATGCTGAGACCCGTGCGCTCCTTGGCGATGCCCTGGATGTCGCGCAGCGGCACGTCCCACTTGGTCGTCAGCTGGCGCGACCGGATCAGCAGGATGCGCGCGTACGTCACCATGGCCACCATGTCCTCGAGCGGCAGCTCCAGGTGGCCAATGTACACCTCGTCAAAGTACTTGCCGTCGTCGACCTGCTTGAGCCAGAACTGGCCGAGCGCCTCGCGCTGGCTGTAGGGGCGCACGATGCCGTCGGCCGGCACAAACCGCGTCAGCCGCACGCGGTCCAGCTCCGACCCGTCAAAGACAGTCGTCGTGTTGCGGATGCCCTCGGACACGTTGCTGGCCAGGTCCAGCACGCCAATCACGGGCTTCGTGGCCACGCCAATCACGCCCTTGCCGATGCCCTTGAAGAAGCCCAGCGCCCCCTCCTGCTCCGCGCCCTCCAGCGGCTTGCGCGCCAGGCCGCCGACGCCCGACGCCACCGACGTGATAAACGAGTTGGCGCCCGCCGTGACGCCGTAGAGCGCGTGCTTGGGCCGGTTGCGCGCCCGCGTGATCCGCCGCCGGTCCTGGAACTGCTTGTCGAGCGTGGCCGCCGCCAGGCCCTTGGACATGGCGCCCGTGAACTTGGACACCGAGTCGCTGAAGCCGTACACCGACTTCTTCATAAACGACGTGGCGCCCCGCGCCAGGCCCATGCCCAGGTCCTCGGGCCGGTCCGACATGATCAGGCCCTGGTACGGCTCGTAAAAGATGTCCGTGATGCCCGACGAGATGTTGTTGAATAGGCCCACCGGGTTGCCCAAAAAGTCGGCCGACCCCAAAATCTTGTGGATCTGGTACAGCGCCTCCTGGCTGTAGTGGTTGGACACGTTCTGCGTCAGCACGGGGATCGACACGCGCACGTTTTCGAGCAGGAGCGCGTTGAGCCGCAGCGGCGCGTCGTTGACGTTGCCAATGGCCATGGTGATGATGTTGAAGAAGAACATGAGCGGGTTGCGCGACGACGTCTTGTCCTGTACGTTGACGCGCTCCGTGCGCACAAACGAAATGTCGAGCTGCATGGGCTGGATGTTGAGCATCTCAAAGTACATGTCGCGGCCCG